ATTTTCTGAGCTATAACTACAGTTCCAGCAGAATTTTTCAGACCTTGATGCCAAGCGCAATGGAAACTTCCATATTTCAAAATCTATTTAATTGGGCAATTCAGGAGTTCCCACCCAAACTTCAATTGAAGATGATTAATCTGCAATGTATTCATAACAACAAGCTAAAAGGCAAATGTCCAGAGAAGAATCTCGGAGAATTCTATACATGCCATCCCACAGTCTGGCTTCCCTGGTGCCTCCATGCGGTAAAGAATCTGCCTGCAGCGCAGGAGACCTGGGTTCATATTCCTTGGGTCAGGAAGATCCCCTGGAGAAGGGAATGGCTACTCACTCCAGTAGTTTTGCCTGGAGAATCCCATGGCCAGAGGAGCCTGACAGGCTGCAGTCCATGGGGTCGCAGAGAGTTGGAGAGGACTGAGCAACTAATTCTTTCACTTTCATCCCACAGTGAACATGCTCAATTAAAACCATGCAGCATCGGCAGCACCATCTGGGTGCAAGACATCTTCAAAGACGAACCAGAGCCTGATTACATTAACTCAGCACTGGCAGCTCGACATCTCACCGTTAGGGGACACCGACACTGAAGCCCAAGGAAGTGAGACATGGTCCCAAATGGATTCCATTATTCTCCCTAGTATACTTGGATGATGAAACATCTACACTCAACTGCTATGATATTTTGAACTTCCTTTTAAAAAATTGCAGAAAGATTTTCTCATTAGGCAAGAGAATGTTCCAGATTGATAAAAACAGGGGGTGCAGATCTCCTGAAATGTTAAGATGCCCCCATTTTCCATTTTCTACTGGTGCCAGGGAGGAGGAGCAGGAGGCTGGAGCAAGATTATATAATGTTTCTTGATTTTCCTCTTTGTCCTGCAAAGCCTTAGATATTTAGAATCTGGATCTTTAGAGGAAAATTTGGGGACGCCCGGTCTAAAGGGTTGCAAAGCAGTGACTGAGAAGGAATGAGAGAGGGAATCAGTGTGCCTCTAGGGCATTTCACGAAAGGCACTCCAGAATGCTCTGAAATCAGGAGAAACAAGACAAGCTGCCTCTCGGCTCAAGTGACAAGAAAGTGGACTTTTAAAAAAAATAATTACCTACGTGGCTGTGTCGAGTCTAAGTTGCAGCTCACGGGATCTGCATTATGGTGTGCGAACACTTAGTTGCGGTCCACAGAATCTTAGTTCCCTGACCAGGGATCAATCCTGGGCCCCTGCGTTGGGGGCACAGAGTCTTAGCCACTGGACCACCAGGGAAGTCCGAGAAAACGGATATTCTATAGAAGAGGTGTCAGAGCAATTAACACTAGGTTAGGAAATGCCAGGGGGAACCATGACCAGGCTTCAAGGCACTGAAGTAGAGTGGGCCACTGTTTTCTAGAGGGGTCGGTAGAGCTTCCAGATACAGCAGCCAAGCCTCCTGCAGGGGTGTCCCCCTGGGAAAGAAGAGACTGGCACCTTGATATTTTAAATAGTGCATCATGGGAAATTATAATGGGGCTGTGGACATTATTTTATTAATATTGCAGTAGCAAACTAATAGGAGGGGGGAAAAGAAGATAACCAATAAGCTCCTCTTTTGTTTTAGGGGGAAAAATTTAGAAATATATGTGAAGCCTGGGGGAGTAGTGACGAGAACTGCAGGGTGAGAGGCAGAGGAGGGTCTCCAAGGTCAAGTCTAATCCAGGCAGTGGTCAAGCAGCGCTCGTGGAGACCACACCTGAGAACCACCGACTCGGTCAAGTCAGCACAATGAGCGCGCTTGCTGCGTCTCCCCCTACACAGTCAGGCCTCTTCTACCCTCAGCATCTTTGCCAACAAAGAATCTAGGGCAGGAACAAGGGACAGACACTGTTCTTCCGGGTCCTCAGTAAGGCAGCAGTCTGGGAAGACTGTCTGGCCTTAACCATCACTTACAGTGTTGGACCAGACAGGGGAGAATCAAAAGTCAGTGGGGTGGGGTGGGGGGCTTTCTTGGTGACTCAGTGGGTAAAGAATCTGCCTATCAGTGGAGGAGACATGGGTTCCATCCCTGATCTGGTAAGATCCCACAAGCCATGGCGCAGCTGGGCCTGAGCGGCACAACCATTGAGCCCTGCCCTCTAGAGCCCTTCCCTGCAGTAGGGGCCGCCTCAACGAGAAGCCTGCGCGCCGCAACTAGAGAAAAGCCGGCGCAGCCATGAAGACTCCCTACAGAGAAGGAAAACAAATTATTAAAAAAATAAAATTCAGTGGTGGGGGGACTTCACTGGCGGTCCAGTGGTTAAGACTGTGGTTCCAACGCAGGAGGTGCAGGTTTGATTCTCGGTTGGGGAACTAAGACCCTGCAGGCCTCATGGCAAGGCCAAAAAGAGAGAGTTGGCGGTGGGTCCTCAGTACAGAGGCGGCCTCAAGGACAGGAACCCTGGCAAGCTGCTCGCAAAGCCTTGTCAATGCTTTGAGTCTAAACCGTAACTATCTTAGGAGAGTAAGTACAATGCTATCTGGAAACCTCGGGAAGAGCAAGCTAAAGCAGAATCACAAATCTTAGGTTGCGGCCCATTTTTAAAGCTTCTTGTTGCTTGTCCATTCATTTCCATTTCATTACCTTTTAGTATCTAGGCTGTTTTGGGGGGGGGGGGAATTTCAGCTTGTTTCAGCTGTGCTAAGGAAAAATAAGAAAGTACTTAATTATTTTTATTGTGAAAAAATCCAAACATATACAAAAGTAGAATAATTAATAGCTTCCCCACCACACACACACACACACACACACACACACACACACACAAACACTTCATGTCTCCAGCTTCAACAATTATCAACAAGGCCATTCTTGGGACTTCCCTGGCAGTCCAGCAGTTAAGACTCTACGCTTCCATGCCTGGTCAGGGAATTCAAATCCCACATGCGCCAGGCTGCAGCTGAAAAAAGAAAGACCACGCTTGTTTCACCATTATCCAATCCAGACAGTATTCTCCACTGGAGTATTCTCTTTTGAAAGAGAATAAATTCATCTTTAAGATGAATTTTTAAAGATGGGAGCATGGCACTTTTGCAGTAGAATAGTGATGGTATCTGAAATCCAAACTGGGGGACAGATCCACCCTATTCCAAGATTGGCATTCCTTTCCGGTGCTAGAATCTACCTCAGAGGGCCTCAGTTTTCCTATCAGCAAAGCAAGCAAAATGGACTAACTTATAGGCCATAATTGTGTAACACTGAAATGAGCCCTGGACTTCAAAAGACCTCCCTGAGTGCCTCTTGCAAAGTATACAACTTATGATAACTTCTCTGAGATATAATTTTGTATCTTTGAGATGCTCACTAAAAATTTTTTTGGTATTTAATTTTGTATCTATATGTAAACTTATTGTGATAATCAGTTCATGATGTAAGTAAGCAAGTCAAACTATTATGCTGTACACCTTAAACTTATACAGTCTGTATGTCAACTATCTCTCCATAAAACTGGAAGAAAATAAATATTAGAAAATGAAAAAAATATGACAAGGAACTGGTAAGTCAGGTTAGAATTGGAACCCAAGTCTTCCTCTTCAAATTCTGAGCTATTCAAATTGTGCCTGAAAGTAACACGACACGAAAGTACTTGGAGGGAAGCTGAAAACCTGCTTTGCTGAGTCACAAAAGACACTAGACCGTGACAATTCTCCTTGAGTTTACCCCAGAAGGAACATCACCCGTCACTCTGCAACAGTGGGCCCCAACATTCTGGGCGCCAGGGACCCTTCCGTGGAAGACAGTTTTTCCTTGGGGCGGGGGGAGATGGTTTCGGGATGATTCAAGCGCATTCCATTTACGGTGCACTTTATTTCTGTTGTTATTACATCAGCTCCACCTCGGATCATCAGGCATTGGGTCCCAGAAGTTGGGGACCCCTGCCCTACCTACAATGCAGGACAGGCTCAACCCAGCAACGAGAGTCGGCTGACCAGGAGTCTAGACAAGGGCTCCGATGCTTTCCTGGACAGGCTCTCTCCTCTATCGGTTTGCGGGGCGGGGCGAGGGGCTTCCTCAACAGTCATTCATTCCACCCAGATCTGAGCATCAGCTTAGGGTGGGACGAAGAAGCGCCAGGCCCAGAGCTGAACAAGGCACGCCAAACTCCGCTCCCATTAAACGGACGGTCCAGTGCGGATGGGAGTGCGGCCAGGGGCCGGGGGTTCTGGGGTGTCGGAGGGGGTCCTGGGGGACCAAGGCGGCAGGGCTCCGAAGGGACCCGGGAGCTTCGCCAGACACCATCTGAGCACTCAGCGACGGTCGGCTCCGCCACGCCTTAACCTGGCCGGCCCGGCTGCGCTCAGCCGGGAGCCGCACCCCGGGGCCGGACCTGGCCTGCACGCCCCGCTTTGTTCCCAGAGCGGGTTCTAGAAGCGCCGCCTCCCCGCAGCGCCCCCCGGCGGGCGCAGGAGGGAGCGCGGGGGGCGCGCACGAGCGGCGCACGCCCGCTCTCGCGATTGGCCGCGCCGCGTGACGTCATGGAGAGGCCCCGGCGGCCGCCGGGAGCGGGCGCCCGCGCGTGCGCAGACGCAGGGCGCTGAGGGGCGGGGGGAGGTGGCCGGCCGCTTCTCCCGCGTCCGCCATTTTGTTGCTGTGGCTCTCGGGAGCGGGGTTGGGCACGGCGTCCCCGGCAGCGCGGCGCTCCCGGGGGGTCTGGGGCTTGGCGCGGCCGCGGGGCTCAGTGCGGAGCGGCGGGGACGCGGGACCGGTGCGCGCCGGGCCAGGACTGAACGGAGGCTTGGCGAGCGGCTGTCGCCGCGCTCGGTTGGGCCCGCGCCCGGAGCCGGCTCGGCCCGTGAGGCGGCCCCGGAGCAAGCCGGCGGCCCGGAGGATGCTGCGGGCCCGCGGCCGCGAGGAAGGCGCGGGCGCGGCCCTGTAGGCGCGCGGTGAGCCGGAGGCCCGGTCGGCCCGCAGCCGCCCCGGGCGGAGCGTCTACAGCGCAGGCGAGAGCACCCAGCCGCGGCCCGCCCGGCCTCAGCGCCCGGCCCGCCATGTCCTCCGCTAGGTTCGACTCCTCGGACCGCTCGGCCTGGTACATGGGGCCCGTGTCTCGCCAGGAGGCGCAGACCCGGCTCCAGGGCCAGCGCCACGGCGTGTTCCTCGTCCGCGACTCGTCCACCTGCCCCGGGGACTACGTGCTGTCCGTGTCCGAGAACTCGCGGGTGTCCCACTACATCATCAACTCGCTGCCCAACCGCCGCTTCAAGATCGGGGACCAGGAGTTCGACCACCTGCCGGCCCTGCTGGAGTTCTACAAGATCCACTACCTGGACACCACCACGCTCATCGAGCCGGCGCCCAGGTGCGCGGAGGCCGCGGGCGGGCGGCGGGCCGGGGAGCTTTGCGCGCGGTGTCGCGATCTTGGGTCGCGTGGATGAGGGCGGTGCGTCTGACCAAGCAGGTTGAAATGCGGGTGCCCAGTTAGAAAAGGGACGCTTTTTGCCTTTCGTCACGTCCTGGGTGTAAATTACCTACTGAAGCAGGTTTTGTTGGCGGTCTTGAAGCCGGTTTTGGACCATGGATTGAGAATCTGAAGCTAGCCCTCGGCTCCCCGTCCCGCGAGTTCCTCCCTCCCCCACCCCACCCTCCCCGAGTTTGCACACCTTTCGAGGTCTCTGAACTCCAGGGTTGGACCTCCTGGACTGCAGAGATGAAAATGCCTTCGCAGTTAGAAACAAAATACCTTTAACTGTGAAATATCAGAGCGATATATTGATACCCTGGTGCCAGGGTTGAAATAAGCCAGGCATCTATTTTATAATACATTAACTGAAAATACTGTAGAAGCGGTAGGCTTGAACAGGATTTTTTTTTTTTTAATAGTTTTACCCCAAGCTGGGCCCTTAATGAACTGGAAATCCATTTGGTTCAATTCCAAGGTGGAATGATCTAGAATGTTACTAAGGAAATTTTGAATGACACTCCAGTTAAGATTCTACCCTAGTTGAATTTTAGATGTACTTTTTGTATTGAGTTGAATGACTTAGTATCTATTTTAAAATAACCCAGAGTGACACTGAGCATTAGGCGTCCCTTTTTCATTTGCTTATTTGCCTTAATATTTTGCTCAAGGCTTCTTTTGTGTAAATTATGCAAAACTTGAGCTAAAGAGATGGCCTAGGATTTTAAAAATAAAAGTTTTTTTTTTTTTTTTAAGCATCTGCTTAAAAAGGACAGGGTGCTAATACAGATCTTTTTCAGGATGAGACGTTTCTGACTTTAGAGATTTGGTGACAAGATAGTAGTCTCAGCTCTGAATGTTAGAAGCTGTCATATTAAAGGAGTACATACTCTACTAGAGGTAGAGAAGAAATAAAGCCCTGACGGTGTAATGACTAGGAGATTAACTGCTGAACTAAATGGACTTTAAAAGCTGGGAGAAAGGGACTATAAATCAGATACTGTATAACAAAGACCTAGACACTGAGAATCTGATTGGCGAAGCCTCCAGGTCCCCGAAGAGCCTGGTAGCTAGAGTCAGCTTTCAGCACAATGTGATTCCAGGGTAAGAGGTTGGAGGGGCTCTCAGAACCCGCAGTAATGAGACTTTAAATGCGTTCATACAGTGACTCCTGGCTTGTGAAGGTGGCTTCAGTCTTCCCTTTCAGGCGCTCAGGAAGCCTAGCTGTGAGGGCGTTGTGCTGCCCTCACGGTGACAGGTGCCTCAGTGCAGCTGTGAGCGAATGGCTCGACCCCCTTCTGGGTGGAGAGAAAGGAGTTGTGGCCGTGGCTTCCCGGTGCCCTCTGACACGACCCCCAGCTTCCCCTTCGTGCCTCTTCCCAGATACCTGTCCTCACCCTCTCCGGCTGCTTCCCGGAGCCCGCCCGAAACACCCACTCACACCCGTGGACCTTTGCTCGGGCCCCACCCACCCCTGGCTGCACAGTGCCTTGCTGCCGTTCCGAGGCTTTTCCCTGACACCGCCCCCTCCTCGAGTTCAACTTTGCTTGTTTCTCCTCCCCTGTGCCCTCTGCCCCGGGCGTCCTGCTGCCGTTGAGTTTTTCCCTTTGCCTGGTGTCTCCGAGGGCTGTCACTGCGCCGGTTGAATTAGATCCTGGCGGGATTTACTTTGTTACACTGAATCTGGGTTGCCTCTCCCTGAGACAGAAATCCACGGATTTGGGTGATGTATTTATTACTCACCTAGTATAGAAGACAAGGCCGGGCCAGCCTTGGCCAAATGCAGAAATCAGGGCGATGTGCTTTCACGCCCCAGACAGGACCGATCAAGTGGTTAGGTTCTTTTAGGCCTCAGAACTGAGCTCCTGAAGCCAGAGCTTCTTGCACCTTGGCTAATAGTTCTTTTTTGGGGTCCATTTTGCTCAGTAAAAAGTGACAACTTTATGACTTCCTCATAATTTAAGGATTGATCTTTTTTTTTCTTGGGGGAATAACTTTTTTTTGGCCGTGCGGCATGTGGGAACCTAATTCCCTGACCAGGGATCAAACCCAAGCTCCTGGCGGTGGAAGCTTGGAGACTTGACCACTGGACCACAGGGAAGTCCCCCTTAACTTTATGTTTTTATTCAAACATCACGGGAGAGTTACATCTCGGTGATACATACTGGGAAAGGGGGGTGACATGCTTTCTCTATCATGGACCTTAGATGTTAGTAAGGAGACAGACTGGAAAGTAGAAAGGTAAATAAAATACAGCGTTCGTCAGTGTTGTGAAGAAAGTCCGTGTAGGCTGAGAGGGTCTGCTGGAAGGGGCTGACCTGAGGCAGTCGGGTCAGAGCAGGGTGAAACCGAAAGGGGGAGCCCAGGGTGAGAGAGCCGGCAGAGTCAGGGGTGTGGCTCTGCAGATGGTCAGAGGAAGGAAGCGGGGTGCCAGGGAAGGAGTTTGAAGGCAGGAAGTGCCCTGGGCCATTACTGCAATCCAGGACACGGTGATGACGATTGATGAGCTGTCCATCCGTCCATGTGTCCATCTGTTGTAGAGACGGGAGGTAGACTGACTGACTGACGGCTGTGGTTTGGAGACAGGTTGCTGATGGGAGGTGGGTAACCGGGAAGAGAAAGGAAGAGACAGAGATGACTTGGTATATTTGTAGCTGTGTGTCCTCTGGATTATCTTGTTAATTTTGTCTTTTGAGTTGTAGTGTTCATTTCTGTCTTGGATTTTACATTTAAAAACAAAAGATGTGTCAGTGGCTTTTGATTTTTCAATGACAGATTTTAAAGGATTCTTTTTCTACACATGGGGGCAGTTTTTATATTAAAAACTGTTTGATAAACAGAAACCTTGTCTTCACCTCCATCTTACTTGAGCATGAACATGTGTGAGATTCTGTTACATTTAGTGTCAGGCGAGCGCCACTGGCTTTTTGTCTGTTTTAACAGAGGCGGTTTCCAGTCTAACAACAGAAGTTCGGGTTTCTGAGTAGATGCAGTTTAGATACGAAATGCATTTTCCCACGGTTTAGGAAATTGAAAGTGTGTTTTGCATAGGTTACTTCACTTGTAAAATTTTCCAGTTCTAGCTTATGTAGCTATATGATGACTGGGAGAAAAATCATGAGAAGCAAAGATGAAAAAAACTGAGGCAAGTTGACCCATAGAGGAGCCCCCCTTTTTTTTAACTCAATGGATATTGCTTATAGCGCACTCTGGTAGTACAGATCTAACATTGCTTATAGCGCACTCTGGTAGTACAGATCTGACATTTTTACCCAGTAGACATTGCTCACAGCACGCTCTGGTAGTACAGATCTAACATTGCTCACAGCACACTCTGGTAGTACAGATCTGACATTGACTCAGCACTCCCTGTCAGGCTCTTCTGGAGCTTCCTGGGTGCTGGCTTTAAAGACCACATCCTCTGATACAGTCAGCAGCTGTGCGAGGGCCCGAAAGGATGCCCAGCCTCACCTGAGCGCCCGCCCAGAGGGGACGCTCTTGCCTGCCTGGCAGAGGCCACGCCTTCTCCCAAGGTTGCTACCTGGATGTTTAAGGTAGCATTGTAATTAGGAGTAGCAGGAGTAATTAGCATTTTGTAATTAGGAGTAGCAGGTAGGAGAGGAGCACTAACTGATTTCAATTCACATAGAATTTGGCACTATGGATAAACCTTTGAGTTTCTTCTTACCGGCAGTTTAAATCCCCTGAGTTCAGTTTAGATGGGAACAGAACCGTCGTCATGCCAGGATGGAATCTCACCCAGGCAAGAATTGTGTTCCCATGGCACCTAAAGTGCTGATAGCCACTTGACTTGTGACCTTTCTCTTGTTTGAGACTCAGAGAACTTTTTATCTAAGATTGATTCTTTTGATCTGAACAGGTGGACCAGATTATTTCTAAGGTTCACTCAGGCAAAAGCGTTTTCCTTCTGATAAGTAAAAGGGGGCATTGGTTTGTTAGTGAGAGTTCAGATTATCCTAGAGTCGGAGCCGAGGTCCTGACCGGCGAGGTGGGGCCGCTAGTCTGGGATGATGGCCGTGGTGAGGCAGAGGGGCCCGGCCGCAAGCTGGTGGCGCACGGGGTTTCCTTGTCTGCGGAGCAGACTTAGCTGGGACTGGGGGAGAGGCTTCCTGTGTCTGTGGCATTTTACTTTTAGCAGGAATTTCAGTGTGTTGAGGCCTACTCTTTCCCAGAGCCCAACACTGGACCCCAGTCTCGTCCTGGAAGTAAACCGTGGCCTTACTGACAAGCTCAGCTCCCTGAGAATGCTGTGGCTGGCCAGGGGCGTCAGGCTGGGCCTGGAGAGAAGGTGCTCTGTGGGCCGGCTCTGGAAGGGTGAGGGCTGGTGTGAGGTGGGCCGGCTGTGTGGTCCCTGCGAGTGAGGGCTGCAGGCCTGAAGGAAGGCTGCTCAGTTGTGACGGGCCTCCTGCGCTTGGTACCTGCGTTCAGCAGGGGGAGGGCTCCAGAGTCGTTAAGAAGGGACGTGTCAGGGCCAGCTTTCCCTTTTAGAGCGCGCTGCGGGGTGGGGAGAGGCTGGAGTGCGGCCTGAGCTAAGGGCTGTCACAGGAGAAGGGCCGTGAGGAGCTGGACTGAGGTCTCCTGCGTTGGGAATCCCAGGAGGAAGCCGCTGGGGCGCGGCCTCTAGGCAGTTTCCTGGGGGTGAGGCGAGAGGTGTGGCCTCAGGCTGGTTGGACGGCGCCTCAGGTGAGAGATGAGCGGCAGGGCTGGGGGAGGGATGTGGGTTCGCAGCAGGGAGCCAGGCAGGGCTCGGCTTCTGGCGGGTTGTTAGGGCTAAATAGATGGATTTGGGTCTGAGCCCAGGTGGAAGCGGCAGAACCGCAGAAGGGTTGCGGGTGCAGAGCACGCACCCGCGGCGCGGGAGGGGGTGTGGGGGGCGCCTGCCCGGAGCACTCCAACCGGACTGCTGCGTCGCCAGTCTTCCCGGGACGGGTTCTTGTACCACTGTTCTGTTTTCCACCTTTTTGTTGTGAAATCTTTCACAGAGCCACAGGAGTACGGGCCTGCGTGTGTTTAACCAGGAGAGTCTTCCATATCCATTACCCCAGGCCCTTTGAAAATCTCTCCTGCCAGTTGATTGTTTCGCTTTGTTAGACGGTGTTAAAGTTTCAGGTGCTTGATCTGTGGTTTAGGAGTGCAGCTCTTAACCGGAGGGGGCGGCCGGCGAGGTCATTGATGAGCTGTGCTCTGCGCCTGGGACCCTGTGTGTGCCACAGTCCTGGTCACGGGACAGGTTGCGAAAGATGGAGACGCAGAGACTGGTTCCGCTACTCTGTTTCCTGATTCTCTGGGCAGCGCGTCTGTGCTGTCCGCTGTGTCTGAGCCCGCACCGCCCTGCTTCATCTCTGCGGGGGCTGGGTTGAAAACGGGAGTTATAGAGAGTGGGGTGGAGGGGCGAGTTGATGTCAGGGTGTGGCTGGGAGCTTGGTCTCCTGTCAGGCGTGGGGATGTCTCCACACACACTGAGCCAGGAGAGGCCACCGTGTCGCACTGGAGAAGGTGTGAGCGGTGCCGCCTCCGCGGGGAAGGGCCTGCCGGCCAGCTTTGTGGGCCCCAGAGCCGTCACTGCCCACCTGTGTGCTCGTCCCGCCCGCCTTACGGGACCGTCTGTGGCCATGGGCCTGCAGGCTGTGGTTTGCGGACCCCTGTGCCAGACTCTGATGGATTTTGTTTAGTGGAGTGGAGCTAAGAGCCTTCGTGCGCTTGTTTAAGGGTTCTGTGAAAAGATGCGGCAAGGCCACAGGTAGCTGGTGGGACTCGCGGGGCGCCGGCCCTTTGCAGCAGTGCAAGGAGGGCCTGGCTGGCTGGCGTAGCCAGCCGTTGTGGGGAGCCCGCAGGGATGCCTTTGGACCCTTGGCCTCCAGCCTTCTGGTGGAGGACCAGCACCTGTAAGCCCATCTTCCACGAAGCCTTTCTGCTCCAGAGGGGGCTGTGTCTGTGCGTGCGTGCCTGCCTGCTCAGTCGCGTCTCTGCGACCCCAGGGACTGCAGCCCGCCAGGCCCCTCTGCCCGTGGGGTCTCCCAGGCACGAGCACTGGAGTGGGGTGCCATTTCCTTCTCCGGGGAGCTTCCTGACCCAGGAATCAAATACACGTCTGATGCATCTCCTGCGATGCAGACAGGCTCTTTACGCTGCGCCGCCTGGGGAGCTAGTGCTTGGCTCTTTGTGCAGCACCACTTGCCGGCCCCCGACCCTTAGCAGAACTTGGCCCCGTCAGCTTCTGCCGAGACACCTGGATGATGTGTGCACTCCTTTGCCTCCCAGTCTGCCAGGACGACATTTGCAGTCTTGGGAGCAGGAGATTGCTTTCGATCCGTTGTCCGTCCCCTGCGCGCTGAGGAAAGCCAGCGGGTCCCTGGGTAGATGGACGTCGTCAGTGTTGACCCCGCTGAAGCTGCTCTGGCGTCCTCAGACCCTGTGCTGGAGGACTCCCTGCTTCTCACCTTGAACTGTGCAGACAGTAACAACCCTCCGCGGGTCTGCCGTGGAGCCGAGTGCTCTTGGCGAAGTCTCTGAGGTTTGACCAAAACTTTCACAGAACCCCTGTGGCCCTTGAGATAGGAGCAGGGGTGTACGTTGGGGGGTTGGGAGTGAGGAGCTAGCCGGGGGCTCAGGGCCGGTCAGGAGCTGCTGTGGGCATGTGTTCATTCCTGCCGGCCAGAGTGAGAGCTCTGGGGCCACCTGCCGGGCGCATCACCCCCCCCCACCGGACGCTGTGAGGGAGACCTCAGACCGCGCCGACAGCCTTGGGTGTCAGCCCTTTCTCACCGAGGCTGCGCCCCACCGCGATGTCCTGACCACTCTGCAGCTCATCGTTTGCATCAGAAAGATCTGTCTTTGGCCAAATGGCGCAGGCTGCGCCTCGGGGGGCCATGCGTCCTGAGGCCTGTGAGAGTGCTGGTGTGTTTAATCTGGGGCCAGGGCTCTACCAGGAACACAGTCCAGGGGGATGCCGTGCAGGAGTGTGTGATGGCGTCATAGATGGTGACAGACAGGACCCTCCAGAAACGCGGGGCTCGCTTGCAGTGGCTCCGGAGGGCAGGCGCCGTGGAGGGGCCACGCTGCAGGAAAACCGCCCCAGCAGCTGCGGGTGGAAGAAAGAAGGGGGGAAGCTGGCCACCCTTGGGCAGGGACTTGGGACTTTCTTTTCTCTTTCATTTTCCTTTTTCTTTTGATGACTGTTGTAACATGTTGACACTTTTTTTTTTAAAGAAATGTTTCTATAAATTAAAATGGTTTCGTGTGGGAGGACATGTTGTGATATTGTCCTCTGAAACAGCTTTTCAGGTCATTGCCTGGGGGACAAAGGGAAAGGCCGCGCTCTCCTGGAGGACTCACGGCCGCAGTCAGCGGGTCAGCAGCGCGTGTCCCATCCTAGCACTAGCCCCGCTCAGACACAGCTGTGCAAGCCATACCCCCCAAGAGGCGGAGACGCTCGGCCAAGTTACTCAAGTAGCTTCCGGGCTTCAGAAAAGTTAAGGGGGTGGGGGGAAATGCTCACGGCAAAATAGTTTTTCCCCAAACATCATGTATTTGCAACTTTCCAGACATGCCTTAGGTGGAGGGAGACCTCCGCAGTTCTCCTGAGGAAGGGGTGTTCCAGGAGGGGCGGAAGGAGGGGGCTGCTTTTCTGACCCACCCCAGGGGCTTCGCGCCTGGAAGCTCGGATGGTGATTCCCCTACGAGATGCAGTATGGTGGTGCGTTTTTCTTTTTTTCCTTTTTTGTAATGGAAGTACATACTCCGTTTTCCAGTTTTTGTATTTTGAGGGGCCGTCTTCTCTCTGGGTGCCTGGAGAAGCGTGCAGGATGCCAGCCCTAGGTGAGGACCAGGGGGAGGAGTGTGTGGTGGTCGTGACGGGCCTCAGGAGGGCGCAGCTGGACTTAGTGGGGATTTTAAAAAGGCCAGGCGTCTGTGTGTGTCAACGGGAGGGTCCTGTGAGACACGGCGGCGGGGCGGTGCCCCTGGCGTTAACGGTCGGCGTCGTCCGGAACTCCTGTTGCCTTACAGATGCCAGGAAGCCAGTCAGCACCGCGCCTCCTAGTGAGACCACGGGAGGGGAGTGAGCCGTCCCTCACTCACAGAGCTTGGCAGACCCTGGGTCCGCGTCTCCTCTCAGAGCGCTTTCTCTGCCCCTGCAGGTACCCCAGCCCGCCGGCGGGCTCTGCGTCCGCACCCGGCCTGCCTGCAGCGGAGGAGAGCCTGGAGTACGTGCGGACTCTGTACGACTTCCCCGGGAACGACGCCGAGGACCTGCCCTTCAGGAAGGGCGAGATCCTGGTGATCGTGGAGAAGCCGGAGGAGCAGTGGTGGAGCGCCCGCAACAAGGACGGCCGCGCGGGCATGATCCCCGTTCCCTACGTGGAGAAGCTTGCGCGCGCCTCGGCCCAGGGCCGGCCCGGGGGCAGGAATTCCAGCAGCTACGGCGTCCCCGAGCCCGCCCACGCCTACGCGCAGCCGCAGACCATGGCGCCCCCGCCGGCCGCTGGCGCCCCCGGGGCCACCGTCAGCCCCCTGCCGTCCACGCAGAACGGACCTGTCTTTGCGAAAGCAATTCAGAAACGCGTGCCCTGTGCTTACGACAAGACCGCCCTGGCCCTGGAGGTAAAGGCTGCCCGGCTGGGTCTTTGGGGCTTTGACACTTGGGTTTCCTGGGGTTTGGCCGTGGCTCCCCAGGATGTTAGCTCCCCAACCGGGGATTGAACCCAGGCCCTCACCAACGGCAGCGTGGAGTCCGGACCCCCGGGAAATTTCCTCAGCTTTTGTTTTTAGTTTAATCTTGTTTCTGTGAGGCCAGGACTACTCATTTAAGGTTAAACTGACGGGATGAGAACTGGGTGACTCTGAAGACCCATAGTGACTGTCTCACACGGTTCTGTGTCCTTTCCTATCCCCGTCTCCCCCGCGTCAGCTGCCTTGCTGTGTTCTGCCTCCAGAGCCTCAGATGTGGTCTCAAAACAGTTGGTTTTCTTTGCAGTAAGGAGGTGAAGGCAGTCAGTCGTGTTTGACTCTCTGTGACCCCGTGGACTGTAGCCTATCAGGCTCCTCTGTCCATGGGATTTTCCAGGCAAGAGTACCGGAGTGGGTTGCCATTTCCTTCTCCAGGCAGTAAGGGAAGGCAATGGTTAAGAAAGACCCATGCCCTAGAGATGAAGTCAACATACAGGTGGACACACAGCTCCACGTTTTTAACGTTGTGAGCAGTTGAGAAATAGGAATAAATGTGGACTCCTCTTCAGCTGGGCAAGGGAAGGAGGTTTCAGTGTCTCAGGCCTCACTTAATTGAGAGTTTGTTAATTACAGCAGCGTGAAAGAGAAGTTTAATGTTTTAATCGCCGAGTCAGTTCCTCTGACTCATTGTGGATTGCCTCCTAAGGGGACAAAGGCCCTTGCAAGGCGTGACGTATGATTGTGGCTGTCAGCACACAGAGAGGCGTGTGTGGGGGGACTGCAGAAGGCAGGCGTTGCTGAGGCATCGCTGCGCCCGGGGAACCACGCGTGAGCACGGACCCTGTGGCGGCCTGCGGGCAGAGGGCCTGGGAGGCGGGCCCGCAGAGCCGTGTCCTGGGCTTTGGGTTTGTGGCGGGCCTGCAGACAGAGGGCCTGGGAGGCAGTTTGCCGTCCCCTGGGCGGGGACCGGACCTGCGCCTGCAGTGAGGCGGGCCCGCAGAGCCCGGGTTTGTGCTGCAGCTCCTTGCTCCGTCTGTTGGTGACTCGTGAACCACACTGCAGTGTCAGTGTCGTCACAAGGCCACGTGCGTGTTGGAGACCCTGAGACGAAGCTCCTGCTGACGCCGTGTGACCAGCCCGAGGCCGCCGTGGGGCAGACGGCCTGCTGCTTCCTCGCAGCCTGCCCTCAGGGTCGGTGGGAGTGCTGGTTTTCCCGTGTTTTCTCATTGGTTATCCTCAGGTGTTGTGGACCAAGAGTAATACCCAGTGAACTTCACCTGGAAGCCTGGTTCGGAGTCCGAGGTGACTTCTCCATCTCACGATGGCCCGAAGGGAAGAGCCCCGCGCCCTCTGACGCCTCCCTGGGAGGGCCGGGCAGGAGGCAGGGAGGCCCCCAGTGTCCGGGCCGACCGACAGGCTGCTGGCTTCTCACCCACGCAGCTGCCCTCAGGACACGTCTGTGTCCTCAGTGATCCTCCCCCGTCCCGTTGTCGTCTATGAGGCTTCAGGCTCTGGGGGCACCCCCACACCCGCCAAGGGAGCAGGGGGCTAGGTTCAGGGTTGTGTCGTGCAGCGGGCCTTCGGCACACACGGGTGAGCGGGGGTCCTTTCTAAAGCTGGTGCCTGTCTTGAACCCTCTTGGGACACTTACAATTAGGTTACCAGGAAAAGTGTTAAAATTAAAACAAGAAAGGTGAGACAAGTAGGACAAAATGTGCCGTAGTGGAACCAGCGTTGCTCCCTCTGAGCTGCTGTCACAGAGAGTGCTGCAGGGGAACTTCACTGCCCGAGTTAGTTCACGTTTTTTCCTGAGACTTGACTTTTGAAAGAACTTTCCTGCCCGTAAGGCACTGTCTTAAGAGAGGCTGTGATCAGACACTTGGTGCTCTTGCCCCTTGGGATTCAGTCTGAAGAGGGACCTCCCATGCCTGGTGGAGCAGGGCTGAGGACTCCAGGGGAGCAGAGTTGGCCTTTCCGAAGATGCATCCTTGGCAGAGAGAGTGTTTGGAACAAGAGCCCCAGGGCCGTTACAAGCTCACCTGCAGCCCGAGTTGTGTCCTCTGACCCAGCGGCTGCTCCGGGTGTGGTCTCAGGCGCACTTCTTACACCCTCTAAACTGGAACGGTACACGGTTGCTGCTTACTCATCCAGCATGCGCCCAGGCTGTGAGGGTGCTTTTCAGTACAGGGTCCTGCCGCCAAGGAGCTTGCCCCTTGGAAGCCTGGAGGCGGGAGCCAGCTGCGGCTGAGTGAGCTGATGAGGCGGAGTAGCTGGGAGAGGTAGGGAGCAGCTGGGAATGGGGGGGGTGTGGTCTGGGAAGGCTTCCTGCAGGAGGTGACCCTTGAACTGGGTTTTGAAGGGTGAGTAGACGCTGACTGGGTGAAGCTGGATGAGACATTCCTGGCAGAGCAGGAGCTTGCGGGAACAGGAGAACACTCCTGCGTGGCTGCAGGTTGGAGGGAGTGCTGGGTGTTGGGCCAAAGGCAGATGCTGGGACGCAGCTGCTGCCGTATCACAGGGCCAGGCTGACGGGAAGGACATCTTGTCAAGCCTGCCGGCAGGCTGGTCACCTTTTTACTGATTGATTTTCAGTAATTGGGGGCAGATTCTTGAGTCTCCCTGTAAAGGTACGAGTCTCACACTTTGCATTCCAGCTTTCCTGACCTGAAACAAAAGGGAAGTGATGGGTTAGCCCTTCAGAGCCGTGCTTAGCTCGGGGCACGCTCTAGGTCCGGGGTCTGAACAGGCCTCAGGGAGTGGTGGCGGGAGGCATGGGGTCTGTGGTCCGCGGGGGCCGCCAGCGGAGCGGGGCCAGGGCGCTGATGGGCCCCAGAAGGGCTTGGCGCGTGCCCGCCTGCCTGGGCTGCGGCCCCGGCAGCGGCCCTCAGCCTCTCCGCGGACCCCTCCGGCCCCCGTCCGCCAGCCGGCCTCACCGCGGCCACAGGGGCTGGCCTTCGAGGAGCCCGGGACAGCCTCGGGGCACGGTGCTGCCTGCGTGGACAGTCTGGAGGCGCCCACCTGGGTGAGCGGCTCGCCCTGTTCCTGCCTCGCCCGGGGCTCGGACCTCAGTGCATCCCCTCCAGCCATCCCTCTTGAGGGTTCTGCTCTGGTTGGTTCGGTCTTACCCCCCAACACACACACACCCCCATCTGCTTCTTGCCTCAAGTCCTGGTGACGTGCGGCTTCGTGCCAGCTTCAGGTTTCCCAGACATGTGACCCACAGCCTCCTCTGCGCCCCTCCTGATCAGGCCCGTCTCTAGGAAAGGACAGTGAGCTTGGGCTGGTTCACCTTGGCCCTGACTGAGCCCATGCAGCCTTCCAGACCCATTTCCCCCTAAATCCTTGTAAACCACCTGTGTGCTAATTGCGTCCAGAATTTTGTCCAGATGTGGTCTCAAGCTCACTGTGTATGTTTTATAGAATTTGCTATCATCCCTGTTGGAGCAAAAACCAAGAGGCTTGACCCTTGGTCAGGATGCCAGTGTCCCACGATGTCGTCCTCTGTGGCAGATGTCCAGCATGGGCCTGTCCTGCCTGCCAGCGGGTTCTATCAGCTCGTGGCCACCTGTCCTCGTCAGCAAGAGGACAGCCTTCATCGGGCGCGTTTTCTCTGTGAGCTCACCGGCACGCCCAGGTTGCCTGCTCCTGCTCCCCTTGGGCCATGTGCGGTTGCCACGTTGGCATCTCTTGGGTTGTCTGCCCGCCATTTGAAGACCCCTCGACATTGGATTGCATCTGGTCTCAGAATCTTTTGAGTTGACCTGTTTCCCAGGCCCATGGGGCCACTTCCTTCGCCAATGGCCTAGGATTCCCAGGTTTCTGCTTCCTCTGGTTGCTTTTGCTTGGTTGGTTAGAAATGTGCTCACGTCAGCAGTTTCTTCGTGGCTGCCTCTGTCACCGGGCGGAAGCTGTCCTCAGGGCGGGTCTGGGTTTCCCCCGTGCAGACTGAGCTCCGGGGCTGATGGCTCCCTCTGCCGCTCCTGTGTGCCCAGTGATGGGGTCTGCGGCGGGAGGCCCATCAGGGGCGTCTCAGCAGCGCCCCCCCCAGCCTGGCAGGGGGCCCCTGGGCGCCCGCACCTTCTCACGGCGCGTCAGGGCTGCCGGGCGCCACCTGCAGCCTCTGTCCCTGACGCCGAGGCACGGTCCTTCGCAACGTCCAGCTTTAGGAATTCCGTCCCTGAGGTAGCAGTCCTTTTCTGGCGTATTATTTTCTTACTGGGCTGTAAATTGGGGAAGATTGTTCTTTCTTAAAATATAACCTGGGTGAGAGGACCGTGAAGTTGGGGCCCTGCTGCAGTTCAGACAGGCTGGTTGCCATGCCGACCTCAGTCTTCCGTATGCAGTCCTAGCTGTTGTGCGGGGAGACGTGCCAGCCAGGGGCTGCACAGGCCACAGAGGCTGCCGCTTGTTGCTGCCCCATTTCACGCGCTTCGCGCTCGAGGCAGGCCGTCTCATTGTAGGTATGGGGCAGAGCCAGGACTCAGCCCACGGTGTTTCTCTCGGCAGCTTTGTTGAGGTCATACAATTTACTCACTTCAAGCATACAGCCCAGTGGTCTTTGGCATGTTACCTTACTCATCTTTTTACTGAGTTGGGAAGATCCCCTGGAGAAGGAAATGGCAACCCACTCCCATATTCTTGCCTAGAAAATCCCACGGACAGAGGAGTCTGGTGGGCTCCCATCCATGGGGGTCGCAGGAGTCGGACACGACTGATCACACACACACTGTATGTAGCAAGTTGCCGCTTTTAAGTGTACAATTCAGCAGCGTTACCTGCGTGCACTGTTACTCGGCCTTCACCACTGTCTGTTCCCGAAATCTTTTCATCACCCTAGACAAAAACTCTGTGACCGTTAGGCAGTAACTGCCCCCCCCCCCCCCCCCCCCNCCCCCGTGTCCTTTGCCCTGGCAACCTCTGGTCCACCTTCTGGTCCACCTTCTGTTGTGTGAATTTGCCAGTTCTGGATGCCTCGTGTAAGTGGGACATCTGTCTTTGCATCTGGCTCATTTCACAGAGGTTTGTGTTGTAGTTGAGTATCTTCATTCTGTGTGTGGCCCAACAAAATTCACTGTGCAGATGGCAGACACTTGCTTTGCCCGTTCACTGGGTCATGGTCCTGAGCCTCAGTCCTGCCTTCTGCTTGTTGAGGACAGCCTGAGGAACGTTTCCACGCAGCTTTCTTTGTGTGAACACCTGTTTCCGGTTTTCCAGTGAAAGTCGCTCAGTCGTGTCCGACTCTTTGTGACACCGTGGACCGTAGCCCTCCAGGCTCCTCTGTCCGTGGGATTTTCCAGGCAAGAGCACTGGGTTGAGTTGCTATTCCCTCTTCCAGGGGATCTTCCCAACCCATGGATCCAACCTGGGTCTCCGGCATTGCAGGTGGGTTCTTTACCACCTGAGCCCCCAGGGAAGGCCAGGCAGTTCTCTAGGGTGCATGCCTAACAGGAATTGCTGGGTTGCTCTGTTTACCTTTTGAGGTCAGCCAGACTGTTTTCCACAGCGGCCGTACCATCCTACAGTCCCACAGGCAGTTGGCCAGGGTTACAATCCATAGCCACATCAGCACCTGTTGTTTTCCTTCTTTTTAGAGTTAACCACAGCTGCCCTGAGGGCTGTGAGGTGGCGGCTCGAGACTGAAACTTCTCTGATTGTCAGTCACATGGAGGGTCTTTTCCTGTGCCTCTTGGCCACTTCTGTATCTTCTCTGGGAAAATGAAGGTCAAGACCTTTGCTCATTTTTAAATTGGCTTGTTTGCTTTTTGTTGTTGGGTTTTAGGAGTTCTTCATACATTCTGAGTATTAAACTGTTATTAGAGGTGTGATTTTCCCCATGTTGTCTCTGCACTCTCTGGCCTACTTCACTGCACGCTGCTGACTTCGATGAAGTCCGTCTCACGTATATTGTCTTTTCAGTGCTCATGCTTCTGATGTCATACCTAGGAATCCATTGCCAGGTTCAGGGTTGTTTACCCCTATGTTTCTTTCCAAGAGTTTTATGGTTTTACCTTTTGCATTTATCCACCTTGAGTTAGTTTTGGATATGGATTGACGCAGGCAGCCAAATCCTTTCTTTCGCAGGCTGAAGATCAGTTGTGCCAGGACCATTTGTTGAAGACTTTGTTCTTCCCCCATTGAGGGGAGTTGGCACTTTTTCAAAAATCAATTGGGGGGGCTTCCTGGGCAGACCAGTGGTTAGGACTGCATGCTTCCGTTGCAGGGGCTTGAGTTCCGTCCCTGTGTAGGAAACTTAAAAAAAAAATTGCAGTTAGGGTCTGTCTCTGTGCAGCACGCTTTTCCTTGTCCTTGTGTTTGTTTAAACATGATTGCTGCATTTTCAGCCCTGGATGTTCAGTAACGCAGGTGACTGTGGGTCCACTTCAGAAAACACACTGCCTTTCTCAGAGCCCAGTACCTGCCCGCCTGGGGCCCTGTGCTCGGGGGCCGTGGAGGAGGGGCTCCTCACGCCACCCTGGCAGCTCTGCGCCCTTGGTCACTTGAGGCCACCAGCGAGCTGGCTCTCCCAGCAGCTTGAGCAGAAGGTGCCTTTTCCCAAATGAAATAACACAAGGTTGTTTCGTAAAAAGCTGGGAACTGCCATAATGAAGAAGGCAGTTGAGGGGGGGTACCTGTTACAGGGGGCAGAAAACATTGGAAACACCATGAACAATAGATGCAGTCTTGTGCTCACCCCACAACTGACTCGTTTCTGAATGTCCTTGGGGCGAGTGGTGAGCCGTGTGTTTCGCCCTTGGCCCTGCTCTTCCGGGGGCCTTCCATCAAACCCAGGGCAGATGGAGCTTCATTCTGAGGGACCCGGTGAGCAGCCAGCCAAACAGGAGTGCCCACGCCTACCTCTGAGGACAGTTTCATAAACAGCATCCACGAGGCTGAGGCCCCGCCTGACCCCCGCGCTGCCTCGGAGCCTGTGGGTCTGCGGATGATGGGGGGCCCCACCAGCAGAGCTGCTGACCCCCTGACGGCAGAGCACCTCCTGGCCTCTGGCCCAGGGGGCTCCTGCTGGGGGCGGTCCTGGTGGTGGCTGTGCCTTCACCTGAAACAGGCTGCCACACTGCTTCAGTTTTTCTCGTATGCTTCCTGTGTGGGCTGAGCTGTTCAGAGAGCCCAGTGGTGGCTGTCCCCTGGCGGCGATGGCCAGTCTGGGCAGGAGCTGCGTCAGAGCCCGTCCTGGGGGCCACACACGCTCCCAGGCCCCCGGTGGCGCCCAGGAGATGAGTCCTGAGAACAGAGCAGGTCCCTTCAGTGGTGCCGCCTGTGGCTGTGACTTTCGGAGGAAACGCTGACTCTGTCCCCTTCTCCCGGCAGGTGGGCGACATCGTGAAGGTCACGAGGATGAACATCAACGGCCAGTGGGAGGGCGAGGTGAATGGGCGCAAGGGGCTTTTCCCCTTCACGCATGTCAAGATCATCGACCCCCAGAACCCGGACGAGAGCGAGTGACCGCCCCACCCCGCGCCTGCTGCTCGTCCCGCCCGTCTGTCTCCTCCCGCTGGGGTAGCCCCCTCTGGGCAGGCCCGCGCCCGGCTTTGTAGCGGCGGCCCCGCCTGGGCGTGCTCGGGGCCGCCTGCATTGTATCATAGTCGTGTTGTCACGGAGTAGCTGATTGTAGAGTCGTTGGATCACAAACTGGAAACACTGGTGGAGGGAAGGCGCCCCTGCGTGGACACGCAGAGCGCGGGGCCCGTGCCCGGGGACAGCAGGGTGCGGGCCCTTCCGGAGGGGGCGTTGCCCCAGACTCTCCACTCTGGCTTCTGGTTTTTCTTTCTTTCTCCCCTCTGGTTTGGTTTGGTTTTGGAAGGCTTCGTTAATTAGACCTGTTTGTTCTGAAGAGGTGTTTAAGTAGCAGGTTGGGTTCTGTGATGAGATCAGGGATGAGCTGCTGTCACCGCGGGAGCGCAGGGGACGGAGCCCCAAGGCCAGCTCGTCCTGTCTGGAGTCGACCGAGCAGCCCCCCAGCAGCCCTGCATTTCCCCGCTGTGTGCACAGCCTCCTGGGCGACGTCGTAGAGGTGTCAGAGCTGGGGCTCACCCTGTCTGCCAGCAGTGGAGGAGCGGCCTTTCCGTGACGGCGTCCCCGGAAAGTGTGGCCCCGGTTTTCTCAGCAGTTGTTGAATTCACTCCCGAGTCTCCTGCCCGCTCACCGAGCCCAGCTCTGCCTGGCCTCACGCTCGCCCGGCCGCCCCCCACACGACTGCGTGCGGGCCCCGGGTCCGGGAGGTGAGCCAGCGCCGCCCGGCGGTCAGGTGTCCCCGTCGGGTACCTGAGGTCTGTTCGCACGCTCTCCCGCAGCACACGGCCGGCTGGCCGGCGCCCCTGCGCCTGCCCTGTGGACCCTGGTGAAGACAGGCGCTGCTGGAACGCGCCCTGCAGCCCTGGGTGGGGTCGTAGCCTGAGAAGTCTTGCGGCCCCCACCCCCTTCGTCTGCTGTGGCCAGGTGCGACCCCCGGGGTCAGGGGTCGTGAGGGTGGGCGCAGCGTCGCCAGCGTCGGGCTCTCTGCGCTCATCTGCGGTCGGGGGTGGCCGTCGCCTCGGGGGTCTCGCGTGCTCACATGGCCCTGTCCCTCTGTGGCTTCCTGAGAGGCTGTGTTGGGCTACCTGCCGCCGCCGCCTCCTGTTGGGAGCCCAGGCGTTTCCTCGCCCGTGGCCAGTGGCGTGGCCGTGCCAGGACCCCTGCCATCTGCCTGGGGCTGGCGTGCGCTGCGTCCTCACCCTGGTTCTCGTCTCTGCGGCTGCCCCGAGATTCAGAGCCCAGGCCGGACTGAGCCTTGAGCGCCGCACTCTGGACGTGTGCCAGAGCAGGGCCTCTGTGACTCTGAACCTTGTTAGATTTTTAATCAGGGAAATGTTTTTTCACACTAAGTATACGGGAAGTGGCCGCCTGCCTCACCTGGGCCCGGGCCCCGGGGGTCCGGGAAGACTGCACCAGGAGGAGAGGAGTCCTCAGAGGCGCCGGCCCCCCAGGGCCACGCTGCATCGCGGCTCGGCCCGCTCTGTGCCCCTTGGGAGGTGTGGATGTTCCAGCCGCTCACGGGGGGGAGAGCAGAGCGTGTGCTGGAGGCACTGGCGGTGTGACCCTGAACTCGCCTGGGGACGGGGTCTCCCTGTGACTCTTGCCTGCTCTGCCCGGAGACAGCCACGGACGGGGCCCTGCGGCCGGGCCTGGCGGGGCAGCAGCTGCCCCAAGTGCCTGACCCGCGGACTTGCTCCTCCAGCCGTTTACACGCCGGCAGCCGAGACTGAAGCCACGTGCTTGGGCTGTGTGCTCAGAGGGCGTGAACATCTCACTTGGAAAAGGGATGCTGTCGTGCCAGGGGTTTATAATTTAATCCTTTAATATTGTGTTCATTAACCTCTTAAAATGAGTGAGTCCTGAGTGCTCTCACACGGAGCCGGAGACACCCCCAAGCTCCCCCCGGCCTCCAGTGCTGGGGCGGAGGCCCGCGGCCTAGGGGCATCCTCAGAGCCAGGCTGGGTCTCTGCAGGAGGAACGGTGGCCTCGCTTCTCGCCAGCCTTCACTGTGTGTTTTAAAGAGACAGCCACACAACACAGACTCTTTGACCTGTAACTTAAAGACCAGAAACTTCAGGCAATAATATTTTCTGTGTAAGCTTTTAAAATTATTTTTGGGGATCATAGCTTGTTTTATTTTGTGCTATAAAATTAACAGTATTAAATGACTTATATTCTTAGAATACATGGAGTGTCTTTTCTTGACAGATCAGTGCCTTGTTCTTGTGTTGCACGTTGCGTTGCTGGTCCAGCCTCAGACCCTGTCTGCGTGGCCTGTCTGTGCATTGTCTCAATAAACGTGCACCCCCGGTGGTGGCAGTCGCTCTGTGTCCGTGTGTCGTCGGCGCTGCCGGGAGGCGCCCCCCCAGCACGCCCGCACCTGCGGCGACACCTGCTGCTTGCTCTGGGCGCCCAGCCCTGCGGCCCCGACCCTGTGGGGGGAGAGGGGGCGGAAGTTCCAGGCCTGGCACCCCCGGGAGCCTGGGCTGAGCACGTCGGCGCGTCCCAGGGCAGGGCAGGGACCCGCCTGCCTGCCTGGCCTCCAGCTGGGGTTCGGGGGGCCACCTCCTGACGCCCTGCGGCCCCCCACAAGTGCCATCCCTGCACCTACGTGTGTGTCAGGAGGGCCCAGTGTCGTGGAAAAGCCTCTAGAAAGGGGCCTCCACCAGCGGGGGATCCCGGCCATCCCGCGCTGCCTCCAGGACCCCTCCCCCGGGCACGGCTCCGGTCCCAGAAGGCGGCAGGCCTCGGAGACGCCTGTCAAGTCCTTGGAGCTTCAGAGGGCACATACTGCTCCGCAGCGCAGGGCTGGGTTCCCCCGTGGCAGGAACTCTTGGCAAGTTGGCAGGTGTCAGGGCCTGGGTCCTGGCACCCCACGACGGCTCTGACTCCTGGCCCTGCTTAAGGCTTCCTGGCAGGAGGGTGAGGCCCGTGTCCAAACGGGCTGCAGAAATCGGGGGCATCCTCACCCATGCCTGCTGCCCCGGGGACACCATCAGACCAGCGCCCTAGGCTCCTGGGCTCAGAGCCCAAGGCAGGCTGTACCCCTGCCGCCTGGCACTGAAGCGGGTGGGGGCCCACTGGGGAACCTCAGCGGTCCGAGGGGGGTGGGAACCCACAGCTGCCCAATGCCTGAGACCAGCCCGTGAAGGGGGTGGTCTGCCCGGGAGGAGCTGGTGGAGCTGGGGTTTGGTGCTGAGGTCAGCAGGGGCCCCACCCTGGTGGACGCACACGCCGTCTCCCTGTTGCCTGTTTACTGCGGATCTCTCCGGAGGTGCAGAACATTCGGGCAGCCAGCTCTGTAAGGACTTCCCCATGTCTTCTCTACGGAGAGACAGCGTAGACCTCGGTCTGTCCTATCAGAGGCTGTGACTCAGAAGCACGCCTCTTCTCCCATCGCTGTGTTGTGGCCCACGAGGTGGGCGTGTTGGCACTGGGGGAGCCACCGTCACGGTGGGTGTGCAGGGCCTTTCCAGTCTCCAGCTGTCAGACCCGGTGAAGCGGCTCCTCTGAGCGGAGTATAAGGATTGCCTCAATTTACACTTTCTCCAGCGATGTGTGTGAAAACACATTTTACAAGTCTGTAGACACCTGCCTTGTCGCTGAACAGTAAATATACATTCAGAAAACTAAGATCATGGCATCTGGTCCCATCACTTCATGGCAAATAGATGGGGAAACAGTGGAAACAGTGACAGACTTAATTTTGGGGGGGGCTCCAAAATCATTGCAGATGGTGATTGCAACCATGAAATTAAGAAGGCGCTTGCTCCTTGTAAGAAAAGTTAAGAAAAGTTATGACCAACCTAGACAGCATATTAAAAAGCAGACATTACTTTTGCCAACAGAGGTCTGTCTAATCAGAGCTATGGTGTTCCCAGTAATTTATGGATGAGAGTTGGACTGCAAAGAAAGCTGAGCACCGAAGAATTGATGCTTTTGAACTGTGGTGTTGGAGAAGACTTGAGTCCCTTGGACTGCAAGGAGATCCAACCAGTCCATCCCAAAGGAAATCAGTCCTGAATATTCATTGAAAGGACTCATGCTGAAGCTGAAACTCCAATACTTTGGCCACTTGATGCAAAGAGCTGACTCATTTGAAAAGACCGTGATGCTGAGGAAGATTGAAGGCGGGAGGAGAAGGGGACGACAGAGGATGAGATGGCTGGATGGCATCACCGACTCAATTGACGTGCGTGTGAGTAAGCTCCGGGAGTCGGTGACAGACAGGGAGGCCTGGCGTGCTGCGGTCCGTGGGGTCACAGGGGGACACGGCTGAGCGCCTGAGCTGAGCGGAAGCGGTTTGTACTGGTCTGTCTGGACGTCTCAGGTGTGGGAGTTGTTGTCAGTGCTGTTTTGTTTGTTGGAGGGTTTTTTTTTTTCTATTTTGAAATTATTTTAATTTACAAATAGAAAACATCTTGGAAGACAAAAATGAAAAAAACATAAAGTTCCCTGGGCACTGGAATCAGAGCTGGTCACCACTGGGCCTGGAGACGGCAGCGCGCAGCAGCAGCAGCGCGGGGCGCGCCGGGGCCGGGGGGCCGCTGGCCCCACGGGGTTGGGGAGCCCTGGGGGCTGTGGAACTCGGGCTGTGTGGACTGACCGGCAGTGCGGGGAGGGGGGCCGGGCTGCAGCAACCCGAGCAAGCCAGGGGCTCAGAGTGAGGCCGGGGTGGGCTCGGCCCAGGTCCCCCAGCCTGGGGGTCCCCAAGCCTCTGCCTCCGTGAGAATAAGTAGCCGGGGGCGCCAGGCCCGCCTGTTTCTTGTCCCTCACACAGCCAGCCGCAGCTCGGATCTTGGCTGTGCTGTAACAGCCCCCTCCCCATGTTACCAGGGGGCCAGGTAGGCACATGGAGGTCTCCCCAGCTGGCCTTAGGTCCCCGGCAAGAGTCCACTCTGCCGTCAGAACCCAAGGCCCAGGGAGGGCGCTGCGGGATTCGGGCCGCCCTCCAGGGGGCGCCGCGCCCTCACTTTGCTGCTGGCTTGGCGAGGCCAGGCGCCTCCCGGCTCCCCTTCACCCGCAGCTCGTTGGGCAGCCCCCACTCGCTGCTGGGGCCTCGTTGGGTGCCGTCCAGGCCACCGGGACGAATCTCCTCTCGGGGCAAGGTGAGGACCTCGGGTGGCCCGAGGACCCCCACGTCCACGCGCACCACCTCAGCCGGGGCCGTCACGGAGGCTGCCCACCCGCCTGCCTTCCGTCTCCGCCTTTGCTGCCCCACGTCAGGGCATCGCCCCCCCGTCGTCCTCAGCCTCCTCGCAGCTCCCAGCCCCACCCTGAGCACCGCCGTCTCCCAGGCCTCACCCGTCTGCTGTCCCCCCAGATTCCTGGGGGACCTGGGGCACAGAGGGCTCACTGACTCAGAGATCACAGACAGATGGGGGCCCTGCACCGGAGACGCCCCCATTCTGCTCCGCGTTGTCAGCCCAGCCAGGACCCGCCCCTCACCAGCAGCCTGGCTCTGGGGGGCCCCCAATCCCCTGAGCCTTGGCTCTCATCTGTAAAATGGAGACGACAGAGAACCTCCCTCGGGCTGCGTGGAGGGTGAAGCACAGCCGCGAAGCCACAGCCGCTGTCCTCCCACGGGGCGCAGTGTCTTCCCGGCTGGGGAGCCGGGGGCGCGGGGGAAGGGCCACAAGGTCAGTCCTGGGTGCAGTCGGGGCAGGCTGGATGGAGGCCCAGGGCACCCCGCCAAGCAGCACCCGTGTCGGGGCCCCTCCTGCGGCAGGAGCAGGGAGGGGTGGAACGGGGGATCCCCTGCCCCCTGCAGCCCCTGGCCCCACACCTGCCCGCAGAAGTGACCCTCGCAGGCCCTGCCCCTGCCCGCGGGTGCCTCCCCCAGCTCCCGCATCTGTAAAATGTGGGGAGATAGGCCTGCCCCCCGGGTGTCTGCCTGAGACATAAGGAGGGGCCTCCTCAGAGGCTGGTCAGCCAGGCACCCCAGCCGGCGGGGAGGGAAGCCCAGAAACGGGGGAGGTGGCAAATAAGAGGGCTCAACGCCAGCGGGCCCAGGAGGCGCTGGGCTGAGTGACAGGTTTGCTGAGCCCCAGCTTTACCCGATCACAGCACAGGCTGGACGGTCAGCACCTGGAAACTCTGGGAGGGCCCCGGAGCAGGAACAGCACCTCCAGGCTAGGGGAGAGAGGCTGCCCAGGGAGGGCTACCTGGAGGAGGGGACGCGACACACAACCAGGGTGCCCCACGATTTATAGGGACCCGGGCAGCTCTCCAGGCGTAAGGGAAGTTGGGAGAGAGACACCGTCATAAAATACAAAGTGGAAGGAGTCGTGTGTGGGGAGAGCGGGGGAGGGACGGAGCTGAGCCCCCAAAGCCTTCCAGGTGTCGGGGTCAGTTGGGCTCGCTTCGGGAGCTTTCTGCGGGAGGTTCCTCTGCCCCCACGTTGCCAGAAGCCCCTGGTTCCAAGACTTAGGAAAGAAAGGAAAGGAAAGAGGGCCGGCCTGCCGCCAGCCTGGAGTCCCAGGGGGTCGCCAGGATGCCAGGGCCCCAGACCCCGCCGGCGTCCGGGGCCGAGGCCCCTGGAGCTCAGACGCTGTCCCAGAAAACGAAGCCAGCGGCTGGGATGGGGCCGGGGGGCCCTCGGGGTGGGTGTGGGAAGGGCCCAGGGGACCCCCACTGAAGAACCGGCCGGAGGAGTGGGGATCAGGGCCCTGGGGCTGTTCTGGGGACACACGTGGGTCTGCAGGGGGTTAGCCCTCTGGGGCTGTTAGAACCGTTTGCAGTTTGGGCAGTTTGTGGACATGGACGGCACTCTGCCAAGATTCGGGGTGCCCTCTTGGTTTGTCCTGCCAAGGGCCTTTGCTTGGTGGGGGTGTCTGGACCCGCGGGGGCGGGGGGGCTCCATGCTAGCCCGGCACATAGTAGCTCTGGGGAGGTTTCTGTCCCCAGCAAATCTTTTTCCAGGCCCAAGATCCCGGGGGTCTGGACATCTGGGCACCTGGGAAGGAGGGGACAGCCTCGACAGGCACCTGGTGGCAAGTTGAGGTCACCCCTCTTCTGGGGTGTCTGTGGCCCAGCAGACAAGGCCGGAGGTCAGGCAGGAGGGAGGTGGGCAGGGCTGAGCCAGGGCCCGGGGAGGGGCACCTGTGTGCCCAGGGAGGGGCAGGTGGGGCGGGTAGAGGCCCCGTCTTACCGACCTGCCTTGGCAGTGAGTGGGGGAAAGAGCAAGGGTGTGCCCGCATGGCCTTCAGGTGCCACCTCTCCCGTGACAGCCCGCCAGGGCGGTGAGACGGGTGCCAGGCAGTAGACGGTCCCCCCCAGACTCCCTGCAGTTCCCAGGCCTCTTGCGCTCAGGGGCCCTCCGGGGCCCTCGCTGGAATCTGAACCAGACCAAGTAGACCTCAGCTGCTTTAAACTCCAGGAAGAACTTCTGGGGGGATAAGAGTGGGGAGCCCAGTGTAGACAAAGCAGCCACAGCTCCGTCCTGGGCCCTCCGAGTCCAGTGTGTTAAGCTGCATGCTCCAGGCGGCCCACATGTGGTCCTGGGAGCTCCCTGGAGGATGGGGTGACCCATCCCCAGCCCCGCAGCTTGCAGGGCGACACAGGGCCTTCCTGGGTTTCTGTCTGTCTTGGAGTCACTAGGTGGGAGGCCACCCGGATGCCCCTACCTGCTGCTGGACCCTGGCAAGCCCTTGGCCCCCTCCCGTGTTTCCATCTGCTTTTGGGCAGAACCCCGACATCAGACGCTTTGGCAAAGAGCGGGGGAGGGGGGCGGAAGTGGGGCGGTGTGCCTGGCCTCCGTTCCCCCTACTCCGTGGGGCCCGGGCGGGCAGCCCACTTCTGTTCACAGAGAGCTGGGTTTCCCTGGGGACCGCTGGCCTGCCCCCGGCCCCGCCCCCGGCCCTCCTGGCCACGGCGCACAGGGGGAGGGGTGGACGCTGGGCCGCCTCCTGGACCCCTGCCCTGGCCCTGCCTTCCCAGACGGGTGGCCTCGGTCCGGTCCACTCTGGCACCGGGACGGGAGGCAGCAGCTGCCCTTGGAGGAGGTGGGTACCGGGGCTGCCCGCCGAGGTTCGGGCAGGGCCAGGGAGCGCTAAATGCACCCCCCACCTAGGAGGAGAAGGGAGGACCTCCAGGATGAGAAGCTCTGATCTGTCAAGGTGACCCGGGTCTGACCCCAGGCACAGTGGCCGCCCTGGAGAATGGAGGGCCCCAGGGCTCTCGGGCGGTTAGCACTCCCGAGGGCCGCAGAAATCGGGGGTTTCCTGGACCTAAGGGAGGGCCCCCTAAGGGGGGGGCAAGCCAGAGGGGAGGAGAGTGAGGGTGCTGAGCCTGGGGGGCCGGAAGGGAGGCGCGGTCCATGACGCCTCGGGGACCCGGCCCCAGCGCGGCCCCTTTCCGAAGCCCCCGGCTCCGTCTCTCTGTGTCTCTACCCACAGCCTCATCAAAGCTGCCCTTCTCCCCACAGGTCCCAGAGGCAGCTCCCGCTGGGATGGCAGCGCCAGCACCTCTGAGAGCCGCGGGGGGCCCAGCCCCCCAGGGGGCATCCTAGGCCTCCCACGGCTGCCACTCAGCGCGCCCTCCCGCCCGCAGGCCCCGCGCCATGGGCGGCTGCTTCTCCAAGCCCAAGCCAGGTACCTGTTCCCTTCTTGCCTCCCTCCGTCCCTCCCCCTCTGCCTCCGAAGTAGGTCAGACCCAGAGGCAGCCGAATGCTAACGCTGCGGGCAGGGGGGTGGCTGGAGCCCTCTTTATCTGGGCCTCGGGGTGCTGGAGGTGGGAACAACAGCGGTGCCTTTCTCAGAAAGGGGAGGGGAGGCTTCCTCCTGCTGCCGGGGGCGGGGGGGCCTATCCCCCTCAGAGCTGAGGAAGGGGGCTCTGGGGAGACCCCGGCCACCGTGTGATCCAGGGCATGCGAGCAACCTCTCTGAGCCTCACCCACCCCCCTAAAAAAAAAAGCCTGAGCTCTCAAGACCACTCAGAGGTGGAGTGGACAGGTCCAGCCCTGCCATCTCTTCTGACCACTGTGTGACCTTGGGCTGCCTCCTAGGCTTCTCTGGACACACTCCCCTCTGGTGGAGGACATCCCCACCCTGCCTGGCCCAAGCACTTCCGCCCCTGCCCGCTCGCCCAGCTGCCCTTACCTGATAGCCCATGGCTCCACAACCTGAAAGCCCGCAAGCCTTTTCTCCTCTCCCTGGGCCTGAGGAGGAACCTGGAGGCAAGGGGGTGCCAGGCCGGCAGAGGGCCCCCTGCTCCCGAGCTGAGGAAACCCAGCCCTCGGGCGAAAGACGTAACTGTCTCGATCGCGGCTCCCACCCGTCGGTAGTGGGCCCTGGGGTGCTGGCTGGCTGGACGCCCTGGCAAAGGGGGCCTCGCAGAGCTCCAGCCCCAGGACCCCCAGGACAGGGACGGGTCACTCTCACCGCACCAGGGGCCGTGCTCTCGAGCTCACATCCAGAGCCTGCCCCGACTGTGTGGCCTCAGGCAGGCGAAGTCACCCCTCCGAGCCTCTGCGTTCTCACTGTGAAACGGGCCCAGTCACTGTGCCCCCGCTCGGGGTGGTGCGCTTGGCATGGGGCCGGCATCCAGGAGGCCCTCGCAGAATGCTGTCCTCTCCTCTGTGAGGGCTGGGCTCCCTGTGGGCTGTGGCAGGTGGCCAGGAGCTCAGGGCCCCGGCGCCCACTCAGGGCAGGTGTGGGGTTGAGGCTCGGGAGTTTCAGCGCGTGGGAGTGAGCGCGTTCGGGCCAGGAGAGTTCTCTGGGGGTCCCCAGCCCACAGGGAGACCAGAGGGAGCACAGGAGGCTTGTGTGCAGTCCTCCCTTTCCACCTCCCAGGCCCTGTGGTTCGGAGCACACGTCACAACACATCGCGGGCTCCAGGGGCCCGTGTTTCTCAGGAAGCGCTCCAAGCCCGTCCTCTCTGAGCTCAGAACTTGGGAGGAAGTGCAGGTCTCCAGGCGTCTGGCCGCCCGCCTTTGTCGTTGCTGTCGTTACACCCGTCTTCGTTGCTCTGCCCGGGCTTTCTCGAGCTGCAGCCAGCACGCTCCGCCCTCCCTGCGGTGCGTGGGCTTCTCCTTGCAGAGCACAGGCTCCAGGCCCGGGGGCTTCAGGAGTTTGGGTGCACAGGCTCGGGAGCTGTGGTGCAGGGCTTACTTGCTCCGTAGTATGTGGCATCTTCCCAGGGGTAAAACCCATATCCCCTGCATTGGCAGGCAGATTCTTATCCACTGTACCCCCAGGGAGGTCCCTGGTCACCTTCCTGTTATCAGGGACTGAAGCGACTTAGCAGCAGCAGCAGTGCTACTCAAAGGCTTTCCCTCTTTGCTGTCGCCACCAGGAGGCTCAGAGCTGCTAACCAGCTTCACCCACTGGGCATCTGCTCTCAGCTGCTGTATTATTTCCTTCAGCTGCACTGCCCCCAAGGAGGCCAGCTCTCTTCTTTCCATTTTACAATGAAGGCATCCGCTGAAAAGGGCTAAGGGTGCCCCACGGCTCCTGCCTTCATGCCGTTCCGTTAGGCTGCATCACGAGCGCCTTGGGCCTTCTGCTGGAGGACGGGGGACGGAGCAGCGGGGCTTGGCTGTCCCCCGGGCACGCCAGGCTGCTCCTGTGAGCTCTGGTCTCTGCAGTCCAGTAACTGGTGTCAGCTGAATCCAGAGTGCTTTTCTTTTTAATTCTTCTGAAAACATTCTATCGCCGTTACATCAAGTGTGGAAAGTGAAGGCAAAAACCCAGCCCACCCAGAGGCTCCCACCTGACACAACAGCGTCAGTGCGATATGTGCGTGGGCCCTTCCCGCCCCTGGAACCAGGGGACCACGTTCAGCCCTGACTGCACCTTGGGTGGGGGGTGGGGCGGGCGCTGGGATGGAGGGCTGGGGGGTTAGGGCAGCATGAGGGGGGGTGGCCAGTGGAGGCGACCCCTGGGCTGTGTCTAGGAGGACGGGCAGGGGTGAGCTGTGCCAGGAACGGACAAGGGCCCTGGCCAAGGGGGCCGCCGCTCAGGCTAAGGCCCCAAGGAGCCAGCTGGGCTCTTTCTTTCCGGAGGTCAGGTCTGCGGGGGAAGGGCCTGGGGGCTCAGGGGCCCAGGGTTGGAGGGAGGGGCGCCCACGCTGTGCCAGGGCTCAGCGCCCTGTGCTGAGCTTTGCTCCCTGCAGCCGCAGGCCAGGAGACTGGATTATCACTGCTGAAAATTCTGTTTATTGTTCCCTTCTAATTAGAAAAATACCGGAGGCTCATGGTGGGGAATTTGGAAAATGCGGAGAAGTATAAAGAAAGTGATAATCTCCCTAAGTGCCCCCTCCCAGTCGGCCCCACTGGAAGGGGGTACGCCTTGTGCCCTCCGCATGCACTGCCCGGGTGGGGTCCATCCCCAAGGCCCCCTGCACCCAGCACCTGGTAAATAATGAAGGGTTCTCCAGCTGGCCAGAGCAGCTATCTCCAGTTGAAATTATGTAGCATATACACTTTTTTCTTTTAATTTTGAAAAAATTTCAAACCTCTGCAGACCTCGGTTACCCAGACTCACTCAGGGACCTTGACCCAGGCTGCGCCCCAAGTTTCTCAGGCCGCCCCCGCCCTCCGTGGTGGCCACGCCCTCGGGGTCAGCAGGGTTCCAGCCCTGAGCTCTTACCTGCACGCAGGTTCCTGGAGAAGGGGCCGCTTCAGGGGCGAATGCGCACTGCTGGTGCCCCTGGCTCATTTTGTTAGTGAGGAAGAAAACGCATGAGACATCACGTCGAGTTTGCCCAGGGTCCCCCCGGCACCTCCGCTCTGCCTCCTGCTGGAGGGGTGGGTGAGAGATGGGCCCGGCTGCAGGCTCACCCCAACCTGCCCCCTGCCCGCAGTGGAGCTCAAGATCGAAGTGGTGCTGCCCGAGAAGGACCGGGGCAAGGAGGAGCTGTCCGCCGGCGGCAAGGGCAGTCCCCGGGCCTACCAGGGCAAAGGTGCTGCCCGCCACTTCCATGCAGACGAGCGCCTGCCCTCCCCCCACCCCTACCCCGGCACCCAGGACTTCGTGGAGGCCGCTGTCTGCCACGTCAAGGACCTGGAGAACGGCCAGTGGGTGCTGGGCCTGGGAGGGCGTGGGAGGCGGGGTGGGGGCACAGCCTGGAAGGGGCCCACGACCAGCTGCACACCCAGCCTCGGAGGCTGCTGCTGGTCTGGGGCTGGGGGCTGCTCCCTGGCCTCTGAGGGCAGCCCCCCGCCCGCAGGATGCGGGAGGTGGAGCTGGGCTGGGGGCTGCTCCCTGGCCTCTGAGGGCAGCCCCCCGCCTGCAGGATGCGGGAGGTGGAGCTGGGCTGGGGGAAGGCGCTGGTACTAAAGGACAACGGGGAGTTCCATGCCCTGGGCCACAAGTGCCCTCACTATGGCGCGCCCCTGGTGAAAGGTGAGCTGTGGGTACCTGCAGGGGTGGGGTGGCCCATCTGCTGGCGGGGGCTCCGGGGCCATGGGGACGGGCCCGTGGTGCCCTTGGAGCAGGGCCCCTGCTGGTGGCCCAGCCCTGCCCCCTCCAGGGGTGCTGTCCCGTGGCCGGGTCCGCTGCCCCTGGCACGGCGCCTGCTTCAGCGTCAGCAGCGGGGACCTGGAGGACTTCCCGGGCCTGGACAGTCTGCACAAGTTCCAGGTGGGGCCAGGCGTGCAGTGGGGTGAGCCCTGGGGGTGCAGGGGCCGGAGCACCCCAAAGCCCCGGCCTGAGCTCCACAGCCCTTGCAGGTGAAGATCGAGAAGGAGAAGGTGTACGTCCGGGCCAGCAAGCAGGTGAGGGCGTGGGGCTGGGGCTCAGGCCGAGGGAGAGACGGTGGGAGGGCCTCTGGGTCCCTGGGGTGGGAGGGAGCCTGGCGGGCCAGCCCGGGGGCAGGTGAAGGGCTTCCCCGGTGCGGCAGAGGCGCCACTGGGGCAGGAGAGCCTGGCCCGCTGGGTGGGCACAGGGGAGATGGCGGCGACCCCCACTCCCAGCTGCCCCTAGCTTGCCGGCCGCCCCCCAGGCCTTGCAGCTGCAGCGAAGGACCAAGGTGATGGCCACGTGTATCTCGCCAAGCGCCGGTCACAGCGGCAGCACCAACGTGCTGATTGTGGGCGCAGGTTGGTAGTGGGTCCTCGGGGGCAGGGTGGGTTAGGGAGGGGGCTCCTGACACCTGTCCCCCGCCGTCCCCTCTGCTCAGGGGCAGCCGGCCTGGTGTGCGCGGAGACACTGCGGCAGGAGGGCTTCTCGGACAGGATCGTGCTGTGCACGCTGGACCGCTACCTTCCCTACGACCGGCCCAAGCTCAGCAAGGTGGGCGGGGCGTGTTTGGGTCTGGGCGGGGCGTGAACGGCACAGGGTGGGGCCAGACCCTCGCCCTTCTGCCCACAGTTAGGGCCCCTGGGACCCGGCTCGCCGCCCCCCGGGGGTCCGGGCGGCCACCCTCTCTGCTCGTGCCAGGCCCGTCTGTGATGCCCATGAGGTCTGGTCGGCGGAGTTCCGCCCTGGAGCCTCTGTGTGGCCCGGGCTGCCCCGCACCCACCAGGCCTTGGTCCTCAGCTGCCAAGGAGACGGTGGCCGCGTGGCCCCATCTCAAGCTGGCGTCCCCGACAGTCGCTGGACGCACAGCCGGAGCAGCTGGCCCTGAGGCCCAAGGAGTTCTTCCGAGCCCACGGCATCGAGGTGCTCACTGAGGCCCAGGTGTGGACGAGGCGGGGGAGCAGGCCTGGGAGGGCTTCCTGGGCGCCGTGGAGGGCGGGCCTGAGGCCCCTGGAGGTGTGGGTGCGGCCTGCACCCCCCTACCCAAGGGCCCGGGCACCCAGGGGTGCCCCAGGGCTGGGGGGATCATAGCACACACAGGGCCCCAGGGTGGTGGGTTGGGGCCTGGGGCTGCAAGAGGGCTTTGAGGAGGACGTGGGGCTGAAGCGTGGGAGGGCGTGGCCCAGTGCGGGAGGAAGGTGCAGAGGGTGGCAGAGCTGCCCAGAGGGCCTGGCGGGCGCGGGGCGCGGTGGAGGACCTGGAGACAGCGCTGTGCCCGGCGGGGGTCTCAGGTGGTCACAGTGGACGTGAGGAGCAAGAAGGCCGTGTTCAAGGACGGCTTCAAGTTGGAGTACAGCAAGCTGCTGCTGGCGCCCGGGAGCAGGTGGGGGGGGCCCCGCCCCCGCCAGGAGGGGGGGCTCGCGGCAGGGGTGGCCTCGGAGCCGCCCCTCCCCCCAATTCTGGCCTGTCTCAGCCCCAGGACACTGAGCTGCAAAGGCAAAGACGTGGAGAACGTGCTCACCATCCGGACGCCCGAGGATGCCAACCGCGTGGTGAGGCTGGCCCGGGGCCGCAACGCCGTCGTCGTGGGGGCCGGTTTCCTGGGTGAGCAGCTGGGGGAGCCCGGGGCGGCGCTGGCAGGGGCGGTGCAGGGTACCAGCCTGCCCCTCCCCAGGGATGGAGGTGGCCGCCTACCTGACCGAGAAGGCCCACTCGGTGTCCGTGGTGGAGCTTGAGGAGACGCCCTTCAGGAGGTCCCTGGGAGAGCGCGTTGGCCGCGCCCTCATGAAGGTGAGCCCCCCTGGGGACCCACCGTGCTGGGCCCCCGCCTGCCCCATCCCTCCCGTTCAGCTCTCACTCCTGCACCCCCTGCCCCACCCCCACCGCCTGGCAGATGTTTGAGAACAACCGCGTCAAGTTCTACATGCAGACGGAGGTGTCAGAGCTGCGGGCCCAGGAGGGCAAGGTGGGCCCTCCTCCAACCCCACCCCCGGCCCTTCTGCCCCCTCTCCCGTGCCCCAGAGCTGCTCACCTGCCCGCCACTCTCCGCAGCTGAAGGAGGTCGTGCTGAAGAGCAGCAAGGTGGTACGGGCTGACGTCTGCGTGGTGGGCATCGGTGAGTGGGGGGCGGGAGGCGGCAGGGAGCAGGGTCACTCCCTCTTGCTCAGTGCTGACCTCAGGCCAGTCCCTTCCCCTCCCCCAGCCTGTCTGACCATACCCACTGGTCAGGGCTCTTGGGGAGTCGGTACTTGGCCTGGGCTGGCACGGGGCATGCTTCTAGGGACCCCTGCCCAGTAACTGCGCAGACACAGGTGAGGCTCTAGCTGGCCCCTGCTCCAGCTGAAGTGCCAGTCGGGGGAGGAGGTGGCATGGGCTGGGGGGAGGTGCGGCATGCTCACCCCCACCAGGGGCTTCTCGGAGAGCTTCTCAGAGGTGGTACGTGAGGCCCGATGGGAGGCACCGGGGTCTCTGGGGGTCCACGCAGAGGGGACGGGCTGTGACGGCATGGGCTGGGCTGGGCTGCTGTGAACACAGTGGCCCTGTCCTGCCAGGCGCGGTGCCTGCCACCGGCTTCCTGAGGCAGAGTGGCATCAGTCTGGACTCCCGAGGCTTCATCCCTGTCAACAAGGTGGGGCCGTTGGGGCAGGTGGGCAAGCTGCCAGTGGGGCTGGGGGAGGACCCATTTGGGGTGCCTGTCACCCATGATCCCTGCACCCCCCACAGATGATGCAGACCAACATTCCTGGCGTGTTTGCAGCCGGCGACGCCGTCACCTTCCCTCTGGCCTGGAGAAACAGCCGCAAAGTGAACATCCCCCACTGGCAGATGGCTCACGCCCAGGGTACCGTCAGCCCGGAGGCAGCAGGGGGTGGGAGGCTGTCCTTGGGCCCTGGCCTCCCCCAGGCCCACCCCTCAGTTGCTGCCCTCGGGTCCCGCTCCCTGGGTCCGCCATTCAAGGACTGCAGTGGCCCGTCCTGCCAGCCTCACTCAGGTGATGGAGCCAGCTCACTGCTACCTCCTTCTCTAGACCCATCCAGCATCCTCTGGGCACCCGGTTCTGCCGGCCACCGTGTCCCTCCCCACTGTCCCTGCGCCAGCCTCTCCTTTCCTGTTGTCCTCGGACATCACATTCCGCAGAAGTCCTCACAAATCCGTGCAGTCACTCGGGGTGGGGGGCGGAGCTTAGTAGGACCCGGTCCAGCTCCCCACTGCATCCCCTTTAGGCAACCCGACAGACTCTGTGAACCTGGCTGCTGCCTGCAGGCCCCTGGGAGGTGGGTGGCTGGGCCTGGAAACCCTCCTCCCCCTCCCCTTGGGCAGTCACTGCACACACCTGGTCCAGGCCCCTCAGCTGCAGGTACAGCCAGTTAGCTTCTCAGAGGCCGGACGTCCAGACCCCCTGCACCCTCTTCTGTTCCCTTCACCCTCATGTCATCTGAGCCTGAAGCCCCTCTCCTGGTACCAGCCTCTGTTCAGGTCCAAGGTCTGCGGTTGGTGCTAGGTTTGAAGGAACACAAACTGCTCATATCAGTTCCGTTCCGTCGCTCAGTTGTGTCCGACTCTCTGTGACCCCACGGACTGCAGCACGCCAAGCTCCCTGTCCATCACCAACTACAGGAGCTTGCTCAAACTCATGTCCATTGAGTCAGTGATACCATCCAACCATCTCATCCTTTGTCATCCCCTTCTCCTCCCGCCTTCAATCTTTCCCAGCATCAGGGTCTTTTCAAATGAGTCAGTTCTTCCCGCCTGGTGGCCAAAGTATTGTAGAACTTCAGCATCAGTCCTTCCAATGAACACCCAGGACTGATCTTTAGGATGGACTGGTTGGATCTCCTTGAAGTCCAAGGGACTCTCAAGAGTTTTCTCTAACACCACTGCTCATATAATTAACGTTTAACCGGAAGGGTCCAGGAGACGGTCACAGACATCCAACTGCAGGGGTCCGACGGGTCCTCGATCAAACAGGGAAGCCACACCCCCTTTCTGTCTCGGGTCTTGAAGCAACCTGTTGTCCTTGCTTCCCCGGACACTGGTGCCCCATTGTCCCGCCTCCCTCCTCAGACCTGACCAGTCTGATGAGGTGTCTGAGTCACACCTGACGAGGTGGCCCCAGGAAGTTGGTCCCTTCCGGACCCAGTCCAGACACTGGACGTCAGTGGCCAGCTTTGGGCCCAGCATGACCTCTGCACCCGTCATTGGCAAGCAGGGGTGGGCACTCCCCATCCCTGCCCCACATATCAGGGATCCCCGGAGAGCGGGGCGGGGGAGCAGGCAGTAGAGTGGTGGCAAGGGCTCGGGGCGGAGCGCTGACTACCCCAGGACCCACAGGGCGCGTGGCGGCCCAGAACATGCTGGCACAAGAGGCGGAGATCAGCACGGTGCCCTACCTGTGGACCGCCATGTTCGGCAAGAGTCTGCGCTATGCAGGTACCAAGGAGCCTGGCCGCGGGCGGGCCCAGGTGCTGCGGAGGCAGGGCTAGGAGCATCGGGGGCGGGGCTCGGAGCACCCCGGGGGCGGGGCTAGGAGCATCGGGGGCGAGGCTCGGAGCACCCCGGGGGCGGGGCTCGGAGCACCCCAGGGGCGGAGCTAGGAGCATCGGGGGCGGGGTTAGGAGCATCCTGGGGTGGGGCTAGGAGCAGCGGGGGGCGGGGCTAGGAACATCCAGGGGCGGGGCCAGGAGCATCCCGGGGGCGGGACCACGGCGGCTGCAGGAGAAAGCCCGAGCTCGCTGGCGGCGGGACCAGATCACCCTTACAGATCCGCCGGGGGCATCGTGGGAAGGGTACTGCACGCGGACCTGGTGAAGCCACGTCCCCTCCGCCCGTCCCGCAGGTTATGGAGAAGGCTTCGACGACGTCATCATCCAAGGGGATCTGGACGAGCTCAAGTTCGTGGCTTTTTACACCAAGTGAGAGCCGCGGGGATGAGAAGCAGGGGGCACTTGGCCGGGAGAAGCGTTGCTCCGGAGGAGCCAGCTTCGCCGGGCGGTGGGCCGAAGGGCAAGGGGGCCAGCTAGGCGCCAGGAGAGGAGCACAGAGGTGGGGCACAGCCGCCCCGCGGGAGGTGGACACTTCATCTCAGGTTAGCTCTTGGAGATGGGGGTTGACAGCCTACTTTTACACCGAGGACAGTGACACAGGTAGAGGGTGGGGTCCCAGGACAGGTCTTGGCCTTGAACCCCACTGGGCAGGAGCATCATGGGGTCCCGCGGGACCAGAAGTTGTGCTGGGCCAAGGCAGTGCCAGGTGGTCAGAGCATTCCCCCGGTCCCGAGTGAGAGCAACCCTGGGCCCCGGCTGCATCCGGGTCTCCAAGGACAGGGGCTGCTGCTGGCCAGTCCTCAGGCTCGGCCACCTCTCCCTGCAGGGGCGACGAGGTGATCTCCGTAGCCAGCATGAACTACGACCCCATCGTGTCTAAGGTGGCTGAGGTTCTGGCCTCCGGCCGCACCATCCGAAAGCGGGAGGTGGAGTGAGTGTGGGCGCTGGAGGCCCCAGGGAGGGGGCAGACGTCCCGGAGGCCTTGTTTCAAGCTGCCCATGGCAGTGAGCTGCCCCCACAGCCTCCCGGGGCTCCCGTCCCCCCATCAACCAGCTTGAAGCTCCTAGGGCTACGGTGTCATGTGGGACAAGGGTTGTGGTTTGGGAGTGGGCTGCTTATTTGTGCTCTTGTGGGTAGAAGGGAAGGAGGCCGTGTCCAGGGAAGGGTCCAGACCCTGCAGGGAAGGGTCCAGACCCACTGCCCGGGCAGTCATGGGGCCCGGGACACCCCACTGCCCAGAACACAGCCATGGAAAAACGTGATTCGCACTGCTCCTGGGGACGCCCTGACAGAGTCCTGGGGCGGTTGCTCGGGGTCTTGAGGGGCCCGGGTCAGAAGCCATCACTGCTGTAGCCTCGTCCCGGCATGGCGCCACTGGGCCTCACCTCACACTGTGGGCTCAGCCAAGCTGCAGGGCCCCACCCCCCTGCCCAGGGCCGAGGAAAGCCTGGAAATGGGGAACCAAGGGAGGGGCCAGGAATGACACGCTGTCTCCCTGGCCTTCTCTGTCTCTCCCTCTTGCCTTCGAGAAGGCTGTTTGTCCTGCACAACAAGTACGTGGGTCCTCTCCTTCCTCTGAGCCTTGCCCACCTCAGCCCGGAGCCTGCGCCCAGTGGTCTCTCCCTCTGCCCAAGGGCACTTCCCTGCCGGGCACCAGGGCCGTGCACAGCTCCCTGCTGTCTTCAAGGGCCCGCTGCTCCTGGTGCTCAGGGGGCACCTGCTGCCCGCTGCCCTCACGCCTCCTCCCTCGTTCCTACAGGACCGGTGACATGTCCTGGCTCACAGGGAAAGGCTCCTGAGTTTGCACACAACACAGGCTCGCTGGGGCGCCAGGGACAGAGGCCAAGCCCCAGAGGGCAAGTGCCAACCTCCAGTTCCCCAGGACCCCCCCGGGGCAGACCCTAAGCGCCCCCAGTGCTTGCCTTCGGCTGCCTGGCTCACCACCCCGCACCTTCCAGAGAGTCCTCTCTGGCCTCCAGGAGATGCTCACCACCCAAGGCCTGCAGTGCCGACTGATGGCTGGCAGTGGGGGAGGCGGGGTGGGCTTGCCTCTTCCTCTACTGGGACTGGTCCCCTGTGGGACCCTGCAACGTACTAGATATTATCTTAACATTAAAACGCACACGTTTGCAGATCTGTGTGACTTCCACTATACCTGGGCAAACTCTCACGAGGGAGAAAGCAGATCACGGGGGACACAGGCACGACCAGAGACCACCGAAGTGTCACACGGAGGAAGTTTGGTCTGGGAGCGCCCTGAGGAGGGAGCAGCTGATTCTGCACCCCCCGGGATTAGGGAAGGCCCCCCGGCAGACCAAAGGCCTGGGTCTGGATTTTGAAGGAAGGGCACTGCAGGTAGAGGGGACAGCACGTGTGCCAAGGGTTTGAGACAGGAGGTGCTTCTTCAGGGCAGAGGCAGCTTGCGCTTGGCTGACCACATTAGGGCCGAGGACTGGGTCTCGTGGCAACCTAAGCTTCCTGAATGCCCATTTCGCAGATGGAGCAGCTGAGGCTCTGCCTAGAGCAGGACCGAGAACCCAGGGCCTCCGCGCCACGCTGCCTCGCAACGAGAAGAAAGGCCGAGGGGAGTGGAGATGCGGGAGGCCGAGCCGGGGACCCAGCAGGAAGGGGATGGCGACTGGGACCCAGCAGGAAGGGGACGGCGGCGAGGGCCGCTGCGAGCCCGGAACCCTTCCGTCCGGGATCCCGGGCGCGGCGGACAATCGCGACGGAGCCACCCGCGCAGGGCATGCCGGGAGCCGCGCCGGGGACATGCGGGCCGGGCGGGGCTGCTGCCAGGGCCACGCACTCTTGAGCGGGGGGTGAGGGGGTGCCGCGCGCCGCGAAAAACATTTCTTAGATGACCACCGTGAGCTCGCCGCGCAGGCCAGCGGTAGAGTCCATGGGAGGCTCGCCCAGGAGTGCGGCCGGCGCCGGCCGGAAGTGCGCGCGGGGCCCGGAAGTGCGAGGAGCCGGCTGGCACAGGGCTCGCCGGGAAATGTAGTTCCGCGGGGGTGGCTCGGGGCGGCGGCCGCGCGTCCGGTGGCCCCGGGGGCCCATTGGCCGAGGACTTGGCATGGCGGGGCCGGGCGGCTCGGGCGGCCCGATCGGGGCCGGGTCGCTGGCCGGCGGCGCGCGGTCCAAGGTGGCCCCGAGCGTGGACTTTGATCACAGCTGCTCGGACAGCGTCGAGTACCTGACGCTCAACTTCGGGCCCTTTGAGACCGTGCATCGTTGGCGACGCCTCCCGCCCTGCGACGAGTTCGTGGGGGCCCGGTACGGCGGGTCCGGGGGTCCGGGGACGGGGAATCCGAGCAGGTCCCCGGCGGGGCGCGGGGGCGAGGCCGGGTCGTGCTGTCCCGGAGCCCGACGCGGTAGTATTTGTGGGGTGGGGAGTGGTGTTCAGGATTAGGAGAAGGGGCTTCCGAGGGGGTCCCCGAGCAGGGTACCCCTCCGGACTCGGGTCACGTTGTGTTCGTAGATGTGGAGCTGGAGCCCCGGGGCTCCGCCATGGGGTGGGAGAGTGGGTCCCCAAGCGCGGAGCCCTTTGGGGTTGCTGGTGGAGCTTGGGGGTCTCCACCGGTCTTGGGGGAGGAGGGTTGTTATCCGACTTCGGCGGCTGCCCCCCGTGCCGAGTATGGTTGCTAGGTGCCCCCCGGGAGGGTCCTGGCCTGACCCGATCCGCCCCTCTCTGTCTCCAGGCGCAGCAAGCACACGGTGGTAGCCTATAAAGATGCCATCTATGTGTTTGGTGGAGACAACGGGTGAGTCGGGGTCCCAAGGCAGGAGCGGGGTGGTGGGGACTGGGTCTCTGCACATCCGCTGCCACCCTCCCAGCTGTTAGCTAAGTCCTGGGCCTGGGCTTCCCTATCTGTGAGGCTCCCTCAGCAATGGGGAGCACGCACTCAGGTCAGGGAACCAGCCCTGTCCTTCCGCCTGAGTGGACGCAGCCTTGAAGGAGACACGTCTGCCCCAGCTGGCACCCTGGCCAGGCGCTGCTCCTTCCCCGCGCCTCCCTCTGGGCCACACGCTTGCGGGACACAGGTTTCCTGCCTTCCGGCATCTCTCACTGCACAAGGGTTTCCCTGCGTTTTACTGCACATGCCTGCAATCAACCTTTCCCGGTGGCCCATCTCCACCCCCCAGACGGTTCCCAGCTTAGTGGTGGCAGGCTTCCTTCCATGAAGTAACGGCCAAGGTGGCCCTTGGTTTGTGAGGCCGCGTCCTGCTGCTGGCCTGTTTCCTCCAGGAGCTGGATCTCCCTGGAGGGACGGAGTTGTCTCAGCAAGGGCAGGGCCCCGCCAAGTGCAGCACAGCAGGCCGGTAGGCTTGTTCTGCACCAGGAGAGGGGTGTGCGGTCCGCTCGGCCTCCCTGGAAAGAAGTGAGCCAGGCCAACGAAGAAGAGTCTGGAACAGAGGGATCGGTGTGACAGACCTGTGCCGCCTTGAGTCCGCTGGGCTTCCCTGCCCCGTCCACCCGGGATGTACACAGGAGAGGCCAGGGATGGCCCCCGGGGCCCTGAGGGTTGGGAGCCAGCTGGGTGTGGGGTTGAAGTTGGGCTCCTGGACACACAGGGCTCGGTCGAAGTCAGCTTGGTGGCTCTGGGAAGGTGGCTTCAACCCTCCACTGCACCCGGGTCTCCTCTGTCGAAGGTGGTGGGCCTCCGCCTTGCTTTTGCAGGGTGCTCCTGAGGGTCAGTGAGCCCCGGGCTGTCAGGGCCCAGGACACAGGTGTCCCCGTGGGGCGGGGTGCCGTGGGCACAGACCGATCTCGCCCTTGAGCCTATCCACCCATCTCCACCACAGACTGCCTGGCCTCTGACAGGCTGCAGCCGCGGTCCCACAGGATCCCTCCATGGGGCCTGCATGCTGGGGAGCAGGGTCTCCTGGGCACAGCCCCTGGCATCCAGCCTCTCTGCCCATGCACAGCCAGTTGGAGCATGTTCCTTCCTGGTTCATTACCCCGCATGGTCCCCTCTCTCTGGGGCAAGGTGCACGCCCTCCTGGCAGTGTGTGAGACCCGCATGTGTGTCCACAGCTCCCCTGCCCTTGTCTGCGTGGCACTGGACATTCTGTCTTGCTGCGTTCTGAATGCACGTGAGGGTCCTCCCACTGCTCAGCCCCTCCCACTGCCTGTTCCCTGCTTCTCACCCTGCCTGCCCCTCTAAATGGGGGATCGAGGCCTTCCCGTCCCCCACAGCTCGGACCAACCAGACTAGGTGGCGGCCTCTCCTCCACTTCTGCACCTCTTATGGGTCCCACTGGTCCCCAGAGCACCCAGATGTTTGCTATCTGTCTCCTCGGCCAGGGCTGGAGCTGTGTCCCAGCACCGACAATTGAATACATGTGTGCCATTTGTGGGAATAAAATGCAGAAGAGGCATCCATCCCCAGGGGTTTACTGCAGCCTGAAAGAGACTTCCCTGAGCCCGAAAAGGCCTGGTGGCCAGCGCAGGGCAGGGGGTGATGAGTCACCCATCCTTTGCCCCGGACATAGCCTTTGAGTGACAGCTGTGTAGCTGGAAACAGAAACATTTTCTCTGCAATTTGACACTAAGAAACAGAAGAAGCATTTGTCTCATTGGAGTTATAACTGTAAACACAGTGTGAAGGTGGCTCCTGCCACTTAGAGGGTACACATGGGAGAGGGCGGGATCACAGTCTCTGCTGCTCCGCCGTGGGCCGCGTGGCCTCAGGCCCTTTGGTCTCCCAGGCTGTTTGCTGGAGGGGGAGCAGGGGCACAGGCCTGGCCCCCGGGCAGGGGTGCTGGGCTCTTGTTGGGTGGACGCCTTTCTCCCTCTCACTGATGAGGGCTGGGTGGTGACGTGTGGGTGCTGTTGGGTGGTTTGTGGATTTGCTTCGTGCTTTATTGTATCTTAATGTGATTATTACCTTGGAGCTGCGATAAAGAGGTGACAGGAAGAGGGAGAAGGCCGGGGGCCTCCCTGACCCGCTGCGGCCTGGGAGCGGGAGTGTGGGTGGGGGTTTTGGAGCAGGGGGCGGGGCGGGGCGGGGGGTGGGTGAGGCGCGAGGTGCCCGGAACCAGGCGTGCGTCCTGACCCCGGGCAGGCTGGCCCCGCCTGCATGGCGGCCCCGTGCCCCGCACCCACGGGGGGCTCCCTGTGGGGCCCTGTCTCTGGCCCCTCGCACACCCGCTGGCTGCCTGGTCCAGCGCGAGCCTCTGCCAGCCGCCCCGCCGCCGGCCCGCTGTCTTTCAGGAAGACGATGCTCAACGACCTCCTGCGCTTCGATGTGAAGGACTGCTCCTGGTGCAGGTGGGTGCCCGGCCCAGCCGCGGAGCGCCGCCGGCTGGGTCCTGAGCGTGCCGGGCGAGAGGTGCTGCGCGGGGCTGGGGGCCCCACCCGCCCTCTCCTGCTGACCCCGTCCTCCTCTTTCTACGTCCCGACTTTCCCGGTCTGTGGCTGAGATTGGTTTTTCCGGATCCCATGATGTTAGGGGATCTGTTTGATCCAGTTTTGGGTCCTCAGACTCTGCTTCAGGAGAGCTGTTCCATCACCAGGTCCATCTCCCAGAACAGGGGCTGCTGTCGGAGCCGACTGGGGGCCGCGAGCTGATGGGTCCTTCTAGGATGGTCTCTGCCGCTACAGGGGGGCCGCCCAGGGGCCGACAGCAGCTGCTCCGCCCTCCCTTCCTCTGGGGCCCATCCCATTCCGGAGGCCTCACACGGGCAGCGGCAGCCCACAGGTCCTGGCTCCTTCCCCTGCTGTGTGGCCTTGGGCAAGATTCCTTCCCTCCCTGAGCTCTAGATGCCTGTGCCTATCTGCTCCAGTCCAGCCCTGCTGGGGGCAGCTCTCAGCTGAGGGGGGGAGAAGATCCTGGGGCTGGGAAATGTTGGGCTTGGCAACAGCAGCTGGCAGCAGCAGCTCTGGGCCCTGCCTTTCGCGGGGGGCGTCTCCCTGCCCCCACCTTTGACAGGAGGATGTCTAGGCCCAGGACTCGCAGTGGCGCCCCTGGGCGGCACTGGGGCCGCTTCAGTCCTTGTGTTGTTTCTCTCACGCTCGATTGTAACGTGTGTCCAAAAGTTACGGATGAACTGGAAAATCACTCTCAAGACTTGGAATTCTTGGTTAAAAATTGCTTCAGTTAAAAGTCTGAAAAGGAGCAGCCCCAGGAAAGCAGTATAAATGGGTGTGTAATTCCGTGAATAAGTCGCATGGAGACCTGTGCTGCGGAGCACGTCTCAGCCTGGGGCCACAGGGGTGGATGGTTCCAGAGTGGCCAGGATGCCTACTACGTGATCCCTCCCACTACAGAAAATTGTCCATTTGCTCAGTCCTGTCTGACTGCAGTCCCACAGACTGCATGCCAGGCTTCCCTGTCCTCCACCATCTCCTGATGTGGGTTTGTGCTGTGTCGCTTCAGTCGTGTCTGACTCTTTGTGACCCCGTGGACTGTAGCCCGCCAGGCCCCTCTGTCCATGGGAGTCCCCAGGCAACAGTACTGGAGTGGGTTGCCATTTCTTCCTCCAGGGCATCTTCATGGCCCCGGGATCGAACCTGGGTCTCCTGCCACTGGCTCCTGGGGCTCCGCGTTGCCGGCGGATACTTCACCGCCGAGCTACCAGGGAAGCCCGCTATCTCTTGGAGCTCGCTCAATTTCACATTCATTGAGTTGGTCATAGAGAAATTACAGAGAATCGCTCAGAGTCATAATTGTGGTAAAAGTCGGGAGGTGTACCGTCAAGGTGTGAACGGTGGTTTCTGGCAAAGGGATTAAATGCTAAGTTTTAGTGCCCTGCTTTTTCCTTATTTGGCTTTTTTTAAAAGGCTTCTATAATGAGAAAGCAGACGGCAGTTTGGGGGTGATGGGGCTGCCCGCTGACACCTGCTGCCCCTCCTCCCCCAGGGCCTTCACCACCGGGACCCCCCCGGCCCCCCGCTACCACCACTCGGCCGTGGTCTACGGGAGCAGCATGTTCGTCTTCGGTGAGCGGCGCCTCGCGTCCGGCCAGGCCCCGGGCCCAGTCCTCCAGCACCTGTGCTGGGTCAGGGGCCTCTCGGGGCCCCTCCCCCGACCGTCCTGATCTCCGGGGGGGAGGGGGGCAACTGTCTGCGTCTGCCGGCCGGCCGGCCGCTGTCCCCAGGGCCTTGAGCAGGAGCTGACGGGCTCCAGGGGCCCTGGGGGCCCTGCTGCGCAAGGCCGGGCCACGCCCCGGCCCGGGGCTCGCAGGCTGAACTGACGCCGCGGCCTCCCGCTCTCTTTACAGGGGGTTACACTGGGGACATTTACTCCAACTCCAACCTGAAGAACAAAAACGACCTCTTTGAATACAAGTTTGCAACTGGCCAGTGGACGGAGTGGAAAATTGAAGGACGGTGAGACGGTGCTGAGACCTTTGCGGTTCTGCAGGCTGCCGTGCTGGGTCTTGGGGGGCGGCAGGCCTGGACTGGCCTCTGTAGGGTTACAGATGAAGGGGCCTGCCGTGGCGGCCTAGGGGTTACGACCCCGCCTTCCAAGGCGGGGGGTGTGGGTTCAAACACTGGTCAGGGAGCCACGAGCCCACTCACCTCGGCCAGAGGACAGGAGCACAAAACGGAAGCAGTGTTGTGATAAATCCAATGACGACTTTAAAAGCTAGATGAGGAGCCCGCAGCCTGAAAGGGTGAGCCGTGGCCCGAGCTGGGAGTCCGTGTCACCTGCCCGCTGGCCCTGTTTGCGCATCCTGGCCCTCAGCTCCCCTGGATCCCTCACAGTGTAGGGGGACCCAGTGTTCTGCGGGTGGCGCGTCTCTGGCCCTGTTTCACAGGCACCCCTCGATACCAGGCGGGGGCTTGGAGGGGGCTCTGTGCCCTTGGCCATGTGACTTCTCGTCCAGTGCCCGGGCCTCGCGGGCTCAGCCTCTGCCAGGCCCCTCATTCCCAGCAGCCGATCAGCGGGTGTGGGCACGGCCGCCCCGGGGCGGTGGGCTCACAGGGCTGGGCCCCAGGCTGTGTGGGGCCTGCGGCTCGGCTCTGCCCAGGGCGCCCCCCAGCCCTGCCCTCCCCTTGCCCCAGGCTGCCAGTCGCCCGGTCGGCCCACGGCGCCACAGTGTACAGTGACAAGCTGTGGATCTTCGCAGGCTACGACGGCAACGCCAGGTAGGCCGCAGCCCGGAAACACGCCGGGGCTCAGATCGGCCCTCCTGCCCCGAGGAGGGGGTGTGAGCTGGGGGTTTCTCAGGAGGGTGGGTGTGTGGATGGGGCTGGGGGAAGGCCCCTGAGGGAAGCGCCCTGCCGGACCCCCACCAGGCACAGGCACTCTGACACCCCTGAAACCCCCGGGGTGACTGAAGGCGTGGTGGGCCCCCCACGTCAGGGTTGCTGGCCAAGGATGTTCGGGACCACAGCTGGTGTCCTTGGAGCTCAGGGCGGGGGAAGCAGGCTCCTTCTTCCTGTTGTGGAATGTTGACGTTGCTGTGTTCTGATTACAAAAACACCAAGCGCTGTTTCCCCAGGACCTCAGCCAGTTCTGGAAGCCCCGAGTGCCGCAGGCTTCGTGGTGGCCCCTGGGGACTCGGGGCAGCCCCCAGCCGAAGGCCCCACCCCAAGGCCACTCTGTAGTCCCCTGGTCAGATTCCCTCCTGGAGCCTTCTGTCCCAGCCAGGCCCAGGCCCACCCTGACCGCCAGCCCAGCTGCGGGGTCCCGCCCCCTCTGTCCTGATGCAGGTTGAACGACATGTGGACCATCGGCCTCCAGGATCGGGAGCTCACGTGCTGGGAGGAGGTGAGGGGCTCGGGGCCGGGAGGCAGCCTTGCTCCGGGCGGAGCAACCACAGGCGAGCCCATGACTGCCGTAGTTGGGGACAATGCATCCTTCCTCGAACACGATGGGGGCGACTGCTGCTGGGGTCCTGGGCGGTCTGTCCACCCGCTGCTCTGCCGCCCCTGTTGTGAGGGCTTCACCCCAGCTGTGCACCCTGGGCCCGTTCACGTGGGGGCTTTAAGCTGCTGCGCAGACGTGGACCGTGACCCCTCCCCAGGGGTGAGCGTAGCCCCGCCTCAGCAGCCCGGGCCAGGCTGAGCGCCCTCCCCACCCACAGGTGGCCCAGAGCGGCGAGATCCCGCCCTCCTGCTGCAACTTCCCCGCGGCCGTGTGCCGGGACAGGATGTTCGTCTTCTCGGGCCAGAGTGGGGCCAAGATAACCAACAACCTCTTCCAGTTCGAGTTCAAGGACCAGACGTGAGTGCCCTGGGGACCGGGGCCCCGTCAGCACTCCGCACCCGTGCCCAGGGGCTGCCCCTGCGGGCCCGCATGCAGCTGGCCTCCTTGGCGCAGGCCCCTAACGCAGTCTGGATGGCCCTCCTCCGGGTCCCGGCGTGAAGACAGCCGCCCCCCGGCCCTCCACTGCTGCCTGTTCTGTGGGCGAGGAGTGAGGCTGAGACGGGCCCCACGGTGGTCCTGAGGGGCCAGACGGGGCTGGTGCCAGGGTGGACGGGGGTGGGGAGCTCCGTGCCCAGGCGGAGGCTGCAGGGCAGCGGGAGCCCCCGGCCCGTGGATGCTCACAGGCTGCCTGAACCCGCCTTGCAGGTGGACACGCATCCCCACCGAGCACCTGCTCCGGGGCTCCCCGCCGCCCCCACAGCGGCGCTACGGGCACACCATGGTGGCCTTTGACCGCCACCTCTATGTGTTCGGGGGCGCGGCTGACAACACCCTCCCCAACGAGCTGCACTGCTATGACGTGGACTTTCAGACCTGGGAAGTCATCCAGCCCAGCTCGGATAGCGAGGTGAGCGCGGCTGGCCCCCAGGCGGCTGGGGCCAGAGCCAGGAGCTCTGGATGGCCAGCAGGAGCGAGGCTGGGATGCCCAGGGGCCTCAGCCTTGGGCGCGGCCGGCCCCTGTCCTCTGCCCTCCTATACTTAACACCCGCGGGGTAACGCGCTACAGTGCTGTGCGTGCGCCGTGCCGGGCTCGTTCCCGGGATGTGCGCGTGAACGAGGCCTGGATCCCATCTCCGCCGTGCCGAGGGAGCCCCCGTCTGGCCCCTCCTACACCCATGCTGTGTCCACAGCACCCATCCACAGCCTGGGCGGGGCTAGCAGCGGCCTCCCACCGCTCTCCCAGCTCTTGCTGAGGGCCCCTGCGTGTGCCCTATCGCCCCCAGGTTGGTGGGGCCGAGATGCCAGAGCGAGCCTCCACTTCCGAGGAAGTGCCTGCCCCCGGCTCCGAGGAGCGGGCCGGCTGCAAGAAGTCCCGGGATGTGTTCGGCCTGGACTTCGGCAGCACCACCTCCAGGCAGCCCTCCCTGCCTGCCTCAGAGGTGAAGCCCGGCACCCTCGTGCCCCGCCCCCCCATCCGCCCCAGCCTCACGCCCTGGAGCCGGTGGTGTGGTCAGGAGGGGGAGGCTCGGGGGTCACCCAGCACGTGAGGGGAGGCCCGGAGCACACGCCCCCGGCCAGCCTGCAGGGGTCCAACATGTGGCATCCGGCGCCTATCGCCGCTCCACGGGGCACAAGGTCTATCTCTGCCTCTTGCGCACACAGGCCCCACCTCGCTGCACAGGTGGTTTTTCTGGGGGGGGGGGGTGGGTCTGGTTCTGTGAACCCCTGCTCTTCTAGGTCACTGGTGCCGTCCTTGCTTACAGCCTGGCCGGCGTGGGGCCTCAGGCGGCCCTGCCGCCGGACAACTCACGCTTTCCCCATGCCCTCTGCTGACTGACCCCTCCCCACCCAGCTGCCCAGCGGAAGGCTCTTCCACGCGGCCGCCGTCATCTCGGACGCCATGTATATCTTCGGGGGCACAGTGGACAACAACATCCGAAGCGGGGAGATGTACAGGTTCCAGGTGGGGCGGCCTGCCGCGGAGATCCTGGAAACCAAGGCCAGGGCGGCGGGCGAGGGGCCTGTGGGCACCGGGTGGGACGGCCGGCCCCCGCCGAGCGGCCCGCCGTGGGCCCGGGTAACGGTGGGCAGCGCCGCGCCATCCAGCCGCGGGGTCTCCGCCCGCAGTTCTCCTGTTACCCCAAGTGCACACTGCACGAAGACTACGGGCGGCTGTGGGAGAGCCGCCAGTTCTGCGACGTGGAGTTCGTGCTGGGCGAGGTGGGTGCCCCCCCGCCCCGCCGGCGGCCCCTGCCCCGGGCCCCGCCCTCCACCGAGCCCTGCCTCTCCCCGCAGAAGGAGGAGCGCGTGCAGGGCCACGTGGCCATCGTCACGGCTCGCAGCCGCTGGCTCCGCAGGAAGATCGCGCAGGCGCGGGTGAGGCCGCGCGCGCTCCGCGCCGCCCCTGCCCCGGCCCGCCCGCCGCTTCAGTGGCGCCCTAAGCCCCCTCCCTCTGCCCGCACAGAAGCTGGAGGAGGAGGCGGCCCCGGCGCCCAGGGAGGGCCCCCCGGCCGCTGTGGGAGCGGCCCGGCCAGCCCTGTTGCGGGTGGCCATCCGCGAAGCGGAGGCGCGGCCGTTCGAGGTGCTCATGCAGTTCCTCTACACCGACAAGATTCAGTACCCGCGGAAAGGTCGGCGCGCCGCGGGGCGGGCCCCGGGTGGGGGCCGGGCGGGGGCGGCCTGCAGCTCCCAGGCCCCTGCCCCACGCCCCCCGCGCGTCCCAAGGCTCAGGGGGCTCTGGGGGCGCAGGTCACGTGGAGGACGTGCTGCTCATCATGGACGTGTACAAGCTGGCGCTGGGCTTCCAGCTCTGCCGCCTGGAGCAGCTGTGTCGCCAGTACATCGAGGCTTCGGTGGACCTGCAGAACGTGCTGGTCGTGTGCGAGAGCGCCGCCCGGCTGCAGCTGGGCCAGCTGAAGGTGCCGGCGGGGGTCCTCTGGCGGCCCCCAGCCCCGCCCCTCCCGCTGCGGCCCAGCCCGTGGGGGGCCTGACCCGGCGCCCACCGCCTCTTTGTGCAGGAGCACTGCCTGAACTTCGTGGTGAAGGAGTCGCACTTCAACCAGGTGATCATGATGAAGGAATTTGAGCGCCTCTCCTCCCCTCTGATCGTGGAGATTGTGCGGCGGAAGCAGCAGCCGCCGCCCCGCGCCCCCTCCGACCAGCCGGTGGACATCGGTAGGGAGCCCGCCTCTTCCGAGGGCGGGGGGTACCTTGGCACAGGGTCGAACCGCAGGCGGCTCAGGCTCGGGCAGGGCGGAGACCCGCCAAGGGGGCCGGCGCCGGGCTGCACCTCCGGGGGCACTCCTGGGGGAGCGCGAGCCCTCGCTGGCGGCGGCTGCCTTGACTGGGGCGCCAGGCCTGAGTGTCAGTCTTTAGTGGGCCAGCTTCTCTTCCAGGTGCGCCCAGGTCTGGGGCCTGGTGAGGGGTGGGCGCGGCCCTCAGATGCTCGGTGCCTCCCTGTCCCGTGCCCACCGAGCCGGGAAGGGACCTTGGGCTCCTTCACCCCCTGGCCCCGGCTCCAGGTGACTCAGCCGAGGGTTTCCGGCATAGGGGCGGGGCGGGCTCCGGGGGCCTAGTCGGAGAGGAGGGTGGGGCGGGACTTGTTCAGGGGGCAATGTGCCAGATGCGCAGGGGGCGGGTCTCAAGCCCTAAGTAAGGCGCAGCCCTCTAGCAGGCTCCCTCCACACCCCCAGGCACGTCTCTGATCCAGGACATGAAGGCATACTTGGAGGGCGCGGGCTCGGAGTTCTGCGACATCACCCTCCTGCTGGACGGGCACCCACGGCCAGCCCACAAGGCCATCCTGGCCGCCCGCTCCAGGTGGGTGAGGTGTGGCACGTGGGCTCGGGGTCGGGCGCCGGATGCCTTGCTGAGGCTGCCTGCCGTCTGCAGCTACTTCGAGGCCATGTTCCGGTCCTTCATGCCTGAGGACGGCCAGGTGAACATCTCCATCGGGGAGATGGTGCCCAGCAGGCAGGCCTTCGAGTCCATGCTGCGCTACATCTACTATGGCGAGGTCAACATGCCACCTGAGGACTCACTGCATCCTAGCCTCAGGGCTCCTGGCCATTCCCAGGCAGCTTTGGACCCCACTAGCCCTGCCTGGCCGGGCGGTTTCCCAAGGATTCCTGGTGGCCCCATCTCCTGAGCAGTTGGTCCAGCTCAGAGGGGAGGGGGGATTCTGGGGACGCGTGGCTCCCGGCCACATCTGCTCTGCTGGTCGGAGTAGGGGAGGGCGAGGATGGTTCTGCAGGTTCGTGGGGGACGTTCCTTGGGAGGGAGCCTGGGGTGTTCTTTGGATCCTGAAATGGGCCCTGGACGCCTGAGTGGTTCAGAGCCCAGGTGCAGGGCAGGTGTGCCCTGCCTGGATGGGAGCCTGGCGTCCTGGTGGTGGGTGGGCCCTTCCTGTCCTGAGGCAGATGCAGCCCAGGCCCAGGGTGGCCTTCCCTGGGGAGGGGAGGCAGGCTCGCTTGGCCAGCAGCTCCTTAACCAGCCCCCAGCTACTTGTTCTCGGCGCCCTACTACTACGGCTTCTACAACAACCGGCTGCAGGCGTACTGCAAGCAGAACCTGGAGATGAACGTGACGGTGCAGAACGTGCTACAGGTGGCGGCCCTGGGTCTGAGTGGTGGTGGGGGTGGGTCAGGCAGGCTGGGACGGCATCTCAGGGAGCCTGCCGTTGCAGATCCTGGAGGCGGCGGACAAGACGCAGGCTCTGGACATGAAGCGGCATTGCCTGCACATCATCGTGCACCAGTTCACCAAGGTCAGGGCCCCGCCCCGGCTGCAGGGTGCACTCCCCTTGTTGGTAGCCAGACCCGGGTGGGGTGTAGGGGACTGGAGTCTGGCCCCCTGCAGCAGTGGGTGCTGGGGATGACCAGACGGAGAGGTTCACCCACTGGCCACTCCTCACCCCCCAGAAGACCGTGGTCTTCACCTGGTTCCATCCTCTGGCCTCTGGTTGCCCCTGCAGGTTTCCAAGCTGCCCACACTGCGCTCGCTGAGCCAGCAGCTGCTGCTGGACATCATCGACTCACTGGCCTCCCACATCTCAGACAAGCAGTGTGCAGAGCTGGGGGCCGACATATGAGGGCCCGAGCGGTGCTGCCCTGCCCTGCCCTGCCCGCTGCAGGCTATGCTGGTCACACTTGGGCCTGCAGCTGAGGGGTCCAGTGCCTAGAGCCTCCCGAAGGGAGCTGATCGGACACGGGGGCGTCCCAAACCCCCCTTTCATTGCTGAGGACACATGTCCCCCAGGAAGCAGTGAAGCAGGTCTCTGGCTTGCAACCTCTCCCAGGGTGGGATGCCAGGACTCAATGGTGTGGATGCCACAAGAGGAAGGGCCTGGCTGCAGCCCAGAGGGGCAGAGGAGCCTGTCAGGGAACTGGCTTTGAGCCCCCCACCTTCCTGCAGGGACCCAGCATGGCTTGCCTTCCACCACTGGGTCACATTGCCAAGACGCCTTGATGTGGGCCACACAGCAATCCTCGACCCTTGCCAAGGTCGGTGTAAGTAAGGGTCCTGTCCTGCCACCCAGAGCTCGGGCAGGTGGAGTCTAACTCCGGATGAATTGTGAGATATGAAGGGCTCTGAGCTCAGCTCCCAGCCAGAGGGGTCAGCACCTCCAGACTAGGCCGGGCATCCACATCGGGGTCCTGGGTGTCCCAGAATGAAGTCAGAGATGTCCTGGGTCCCCGCCTGTTACCGACTATTTATTGTCAATAGGTTTGCCTCCATTAAAGCCACAGCAGTGCTACCTGCACCCACAGCTCGCCACGCAGTCCCCACTGCGGCTCCAGCCCCAGTCCTCCTGAGGCGAGGCCAGGCCAGGAGGCCTGAGGGCTCAGAAGAAGCCAGCCTCATGTGGTGCTCTGTTCATTCCAGACGCTACCCACCCTGCAGGGAGGAATGAAGGCTGGCCTCTGGCCTCCCCCTTCTGGCCCCTTGCTGGCTGCCTGGAGGCTCATGCCTGGGTGGGGCCAGGCCAAGCCTTCTTCCGTCCTGTGTCCATCCCAGTGGGTAAGGACCGTTCTGCCTCCCTTCCGGGAACAGTTGTGTCCAGGCTGCTGGGAAGCCACGCGGAGGGAGAAACAGTCTCTCTCTCTCTGAGCTTTAAAGCACGTTTCCTGCCTTGGGTTGTGTCCCCAGGGTACACACAGGGCCTGCCACTCCTCCGGCCCGACCGATGAGCCCCACATGTGGTCCGTGGGTGGACGGCCTTAGGAGAGGGGTGCTCACCTGGAGGCACAGCAAGTTCGGCAATGGCCCGAGTGAGGCGGCCCTCGGCCGGCCTCTGCAGGGCCGAGCCCTCTGGGGGGCCATAACCAGTCGGCGGGGGAGATGGATGTGGCACCCAGGGGGCAGGGCCCCAGCCCTCAGCTGAGCCAGACAGCAGGGCTTTCTGGGATCCCCTTTATTGTTGCGGACACAGCTCAGGGCAGCTCCCTCTTCAGGTGGATTCTCAGGCCGAGCGCTGCCGGATGGCTCCCTCGGGCCATGCTGCTGCTCGGCTGCAAAGCCGAGCGCTGCCGGACGGCTCCCTCAGGCCATGCTGCTGCTCAGCTGCAAGGCAAAGTCCTGCACATGCTCCTTCAGGGTCTGCCGGGCGTCGGCCTGGGCCCGCTTCTCCCGCGCCCGCTCCTGCTGCAGCTTGGTCAGCCGTAGCCGCAGCCGCTGCTCCCGCCGCTTGCACGCCTGCAGCTGGCGCTGGGCCTTGTCCAGGGCGTCGAGGGCGGCCTCGGCCCGCCGCTTCCAGAGCAGGGCGCTGCCCACTTGGTAGCTGTGCTCGTTCTGTATGTAGGCGCCCGCAGGCGGCGGGAGGCGCAGCATGTAGGCAGAGGGCGAGACGGGCCGCGGCTCCAGGGGGGATGGCTGGCGCTCTGGGGAGGGCTGGGCACTGCAGCCTGCTTCATCTGCCTGGGCGCCCAAGGGCCCCAGAAGATCGGAGAAAGGGCTGCCGAGGCCAGGCTCCAGCCTCCCGGCTGGGGAGGCAGACAAAGCAGCAGGTGCCGAGGCCTCTTCCACAGGAAAGCAGACGACGTCGGCAGGTGGAGGCGGGGAAAAGGGAGTGGTGGGCCCTCGGCCCTCAGGGCAGCTGGGAAGAGACAGACAGGCTGACACGCCAGGCCAGGTGCAGGGCCCCCTGACCCCACTTCACAGCTCGCCTAACCCCCATCCCTGAACCCACTACACAGGCTCCCAGCCCCGCCCAGTAAGGCTGCTGGCCGGCACCCTGAAGCCCGGTCCCTTGGGGGCTGCATACAGTGGGACAACACGTACCGCTTCCTGCATCGCCGGAGCCGGCTGACGTCTGGGGGGCCGGGCGGGTAACCGTGCCCCTTGGTCTTGGTCCGGCGCAACTTCGAGAAAGACTCAAATATGGTGGGAACCGCTCCTTCCTTCAGCCTGTGATACCCACTGCGGAGAAAGTGGTCTGGATGAGACAGAACACAGCGCTGCCACCCCAGGTGACCTGCAGGTCGCAGAGCAGGCTGCCACCCTGGCTCCGCGGGAAGTGGAAGGCATCGTGCCAACAATTCATTCAGTGAATTTCCCAAGTTAAGGGCCCCACCAGCACGGGAGAGCCAGGCAGAAAGACGCATCTTTTCCGTGCTTTTGCTGGGAGGGCTGGGATTGCAGGGAGCGGGCTCCGGCCGTGACCAGTGCGGAAGGAGTGGGGCTAGGCTATCACTCCCCAGATCCGTCTGGAGCGGAAGGTGAGGTTCCGACGTGGGAAGCACCAGGGCTGCTACTCCGGGGGCCTCCCCAAGGCCACCCACCCCGTATCCAGGCCGACCCGACCGCCGGCTGCCAGGAGGCTCACCTTATTCCCACCAATTCAAAGCAGTTCTCCTCGAAGTGCTTGGAGCAGAAGTAGATGTACTCGGACGCTGGGTCCCACAGGCCCTGCCCGCTGGGGTCCAGTCGCTGGCAGTTGGCCAGCCACAAACCCCGCCTCGGGTTGTCTTTCTTGGGAAGCCTGCGGGGCCACGAGCCCGTGAGCGCGATGGGAAGGTGCGGCCTGGCTCATACCGCCCGCGGACCTCGAGCGAACTCTGCCCGCGCGCAGACCAGGAAGTTTAGGCCCCCGGAGAGATACACGTTCACTCGACATCATCGCGCAGCGCAGACGCCGCCGAAAGCCAAAGCCGGGGGCCGTCCCCCGGCCGCCCCGGGCCACACCCGAGCCCCGCCCCCAGCGCGAAAGCGCGTGCGCGGCGGCGGGACGGGCGCATGCGCAAGGGGCCCTCCGCGCGCCGACGCGCACGCGCGCTGACCTGTGGAAAGAGATGCCGCGATTGCGCGTCTCGCGCGTGTCTCGTGTGCAGCAGCCGGCGGCGGAGCAGTGACGCGGCATCTGGGGCAGAGGCGGGAGCTCGGTCTCGGCGACGGCCGAGGCCCAGGCCGCCACCCCAGTCCGGCGGCCCGGGCCTGGCGAGTCTCCCCCGCCCGACCTCGCCGAGTCCCGCCCCAGCCCGCTATTCCGACTCCTCTGCGGCACTCACGGTCTCGCCATTGCGGCGCCGCTGAGTTCTCGCGAGGTTTGGCTCGCCGCGGAAGTCGGTACCATAGAGATGCGGAAGCGCTCGGCGCTCGCTGAGGAGCGGCTCCCGGAAGCGGCGAAAAGGGGCCGCGGGGCTAGAGCAGGCGGCCGGGATCGCGGTGGTGCCGTCAGAGCCGGCACGCACGCTTCCCCCGGTAAAGGGGTTTGCCGTGGGCCGGGCGGGAGGCTCTAGCGCCACTTCTCCGAGGAGCGCGGGTTCCTATTCGAAGACCCGCTAGGGTGCGCTTCCTGCCCCCGAGTAGCGCGCTGACCCGACGTCTGTAGGTGGAGCGTGCATCCACCTTCCGCTCTCCGCCCCTTTCCGGGTTAACGCGGCAGGTGATGCTCTGCATAGCCAGACGTGCGGCCCTCCGTCAACACTGACGTCGGGGAGGAACACGGTTCTTCCCGCGGCTCACTTGGAAAGACGGGTATCTGGCGGGGGGTTGGGCCGAAAGCAACACACGCAAATGATGCTCAACACAAAAACTTTAATAGGGAAACACATCTGTGACGGGACACTGGGGGAAACAAGTGTGGGGCTGCGGCTGCGCCGCCTTCAGTACTCCTCCCCTTCCTCGGCCTCCGCCTCCACCGAGTCCACGCCCACCTCCTCGTAATCCTTCTCCAGCGCCGCCAGGTCCTCCCGGGCCTCCGAGAACTCCCCCTCCTCCATGCCCTCCCCCACGTACCAGTGCACGAAGGCGCGCTTGGCGTACATGAGGTCGAACTTGTGGTCCAGGCGGGCCCAGGCCTCGGCGATGGCCGTGGTGTTGCTCAGCATGCACACGGCCCGCTGCACCTTGGCCAGGTCCCCGCCCGGGACCACCGTGGGGGGCTGGTAGTTGATGCCCACCTGCCGGAGAAGGAGAACATGGTGAACTCGGAGTGTGGCCTCGGAAATGGGGGCTTGTTTTTTAAAATGGGGGCCGTGGACCCCCTTTACATGATGCCATGTAGGAACAGGTGCTGTACTTTTTGGCAGTATCTGCCAGTGTTTAATATCCTACATTTTCACTTTTAGAAGAGGACTTAAGCTTTTCAGCCTTCTGCTGGACTAAAATATCTTGCCACATACACACTTTCATAATGAGAAAACCTGATACAAACATGGAAAAAGATTCCATGAAAATGGTGCACCCCCGAGCAAACAGCTGTCAGCACGTGAAGTCACTCAGGCAGGTGAGGATTCAACACCGTCCAGGAGTGAACTGTCATGTGTGGGGACAGCAGTGTGACCTAACCTCCCTCCAGACTGGCCTCCCCTCTGGCGCACAGACTCGGCCAGGACGGGAAGCCTGGGCACAGCGCCCGGCACCGCACACAGCGCTGCCCAGCTGAGGCGGCCGTGGATGGCAGCCTTGCCTCCCAAAGGTCAGAGCAAGGGCACTGAAAGGAAACGTCCTCAAACCAAGAAGAATGGGAGAAGAAAAAGACTTCCCTGGTGGTCCAGATGCTGCGGTTTCCTGCAGGGGCCAAGGGCTGACGTCTGGCCCAGGGACTAAGATGACCCATGCCGTGTGCCATGGCAAAAAAAAAAGCTTCCAACCCCAACCTGTTAACCTAACCTCAGAGGCCTGCAAACATCTACGAAAGGTTTAATTTTGTGGATATTTCTAATTGGTGAAACCTGCTGCATACACACTTTACCCCGTGAGTCATTTACACGTGTGAGTCGAACACCCTCAGGTGGTCCGTGTCAAGGTGTCTGGCAGTGAGGCCGACAGAGGCCAGGTGGGTGCAACAGCGTGGGCTGGTCAGAGGCAAGCTCGGTATTTAAATGGGAAAACGATGACCCACGCATCGCTGCTACTTGGCCTCACTTTCAGTCTGCAAAGACCCTGGGGATGGCAACTCCCAGCACACCGAAGGGCCGCATCAGGGCTCAGATGCAGGATCCAGCACTTTATCTAACAAAGATCACTTGTGAGAAAGGACTCAACGAGGAAGAAGGCGCAGGGTTCACAAGCCCAGGCGTGGCCAGGCACTTAGCCTGGTGGTCACAGGTCTAAAGTGGGACATTCTGGGACTTGGCTTCAAATTCAGGATGCTCTTCTTTGGGCAGACGTTTCACTGGGACACTAAACACAGTTGGAGGAGCCACTTCTATTAGTGTGGTTTTGTATGGGAGGCAGCATTCCAGGTCTGACTTGGAGAAACAGCGGTGAACCACTCTTGGTCCCACAGAAAATATTGCATAATGAATAGAAGAGCCTCTCTACAAAAACATAACTGTTGCCTAAGATTCAGTGACAACTGGTGACTGAAGCAATGTGAAATCTAAACCCAATCACAGAATGACACCACACACTCTGACAAGGTTCTTTGGTGAGCAGTGGGGAAACCTGAGTACAGGCCTGCAGTCGGAAGTCTCTGAAAGCTCCCTCCTTCCGTTGCTGACCCTGAGGCTCTGAGGTTCTAAAAGCCGTCTCAGCGTCTGTCTCTGAAGTGTAAGATGTTGGCAGTATCAGCCCATGGCATTATTGGCTGGTTGTAACAAGTAAAGGTGCATGAAGTATTGATCAAGATCAAGGCATCCAGCACACTCATTACTAACCTTGCTGTCCCTGAAACCCAGCTGCCCGGGAACAGGGGACCCTCTGCGGCGGGTCAGCACCCTGCCCCGGGGCCGGCCACGGGCAGAAAGCTGCACACGCGCTACCGCCCAGCCTACCTTGAACCCGGTCGGGCACCAGTCCACAAACTGGATGGTGCGCTTGGTCTTGATGGTGGCGATGGCCGCGTTGACGTCTTTGGGGACCACGTCCCCGCGGTACAGCATGCAGCAGGCCATGTACTTGCCGTGGCGAGGGTCACACTTGACCATCTGGTTGGCCGGCTCGAAGCAGGCGTTGGTGATCTCGGCCACGGACAGCTGCTCGTGGTAGGCCTTCTCGGCCGAGATGACCGGGGCGTACGTGGCCAGGGGGAAGTGGATGCGGGGGTAGGGCACCAGGTTGGTCTGGAACTCGGTCAGGTCCACGTTGAGGGCGCCGTCGAAGCGCAGGGAGGCCGTGATGGAGGACACGATCTGCCCGATGAGCCGGTTGAGGTTGGTGTAGGTGGGCCGCTCAATGTCCAGGTTGCGCCGGCAGATGTCGTAGATGGCCTCGTTGTCCACCATGAAGGCGCAGTCCGAGTGCTCCAGGGTCGTGTGCGTGGTCAGGATGGAGTTGTAGGGCTCCACCACGGCTGTGGAGACCTGGGGCGCCGGGTAGATGGCGAACTCCAGCTTGGACTTCTTGCCGTAGTCCACCGAGAGCCTCTCCATGAGCAGCGACGCGAAGCCCGAGCCGGTGCCGCCCCCGAAGCTGTGGAAGATGAGGAAGCCCTGCAGCCCCGTGCACAGGTCCGCCTGCGGGAGGGAGAGGCGTGAGCCGGGCCGCACGCGCCACCCCGGGCTCTCCAGTCCCGGCCGGGAGCCCCCCGGGCCCTTCTCACCAGCTTGCGGATGCGGTCCAGGACCAGGTCGACGATCTCCTTGCCGATGGTGTAGTGGCCGCGGGCGTAGTTGTTGGCCGCGTCTTCCTTCCCGGTGATCAGCTGCTCCGGGTGGAAGAGCTGCCTGTAGGTCCCTGTGCGCACCTCGTCTGCGGGGGGGACAGCAGCCGGGCTTGGAGGACGCCGCCTCACCCCCGCGGCGGCTCCAGGACCTGCCTATCTGCAGGTCCGCGTTGCTCCTCCCAGGCCGGGGGTCAGGTCTCCCAGGCGAGTCTCCGAGACAGACATGCCCATCTGCCATTCACGGCTCCAGGGGGGTCCATCAACCCGGAACAAGCGCCACTGTGGCCGGCTCCCGAAGGACGGGAGTGCCCAGGCGGCTCTGTGTGCGCCTCGCCCACACCCACCGCTCCACCCCAACGTCACTGGGACGGCCCTGCCACCCTGCACCAGCCTGGCTGCCCCAGGCACCCCTGTGGCCTGGGTCTTCCTGGTTCCAGGGTGACTGTCCATTGTCTCCTGGGTGGCCGCTCCCCTCGGAAACTACCTCGCGCTTCTGACCTGTGTGTACCCAGCGAAGGTTCTGCGCTTCCCTTGCCAAGTGGGAGGGGACCTACCGACCACGGTGGGCTCCAGGTCCACGAACACGGCCCTGGGCACGTGCTTGCCGGCCCCGGTCTCGCTGAAGAACGTGTTGAAGGAGTCATCCCCGCCGCCGATGGTCTTGTCGCTGGGCATCTGGCCGTCGGGCTGAATGCCATGCTCCAGGCAGTACAGCTCCCAGCAGGCGTTGCCGATCTGGACGCCCGCCTGCCCCACGTGGATGGAGATGCACTCGCGCTGGAAGCAGAGAAATGAGTGAGGCCCAGCGACTCGGCAGGGGTCTCTGCGTGGCATGCAGATGTTAACTCAATGTTTGTATGTGCCTCCAGAGTGTCTCAGGCCTTCTCAAACCTTGTTTTTAAGGAGCCTTATGTGACCCTTTTAACCCTGTGAAAACTGGCTTGCTCCGAAACACGTGAGCTGATAGCGCCAGAATTAGCCCCAAAGTCTACGTGCCCATACCATAGATAAATTCAGTTACTTTAATACTTGCAAGGCATGTAATGTCAGCAACAAACTCCATGTTACGGCCAGTGTCAGTACTTCTCTAGAGAATATAGCCATTTTGATCGAGTCCTGACCGAAGGATAAGCGGTAATGGAAAAGGAAAACTGGATGGGACCTAAATCTGTTCCGCCTGCGCCTCTAGGTCTACCCTCTGTTCTCCGTCCAGCTCTGGTTCCAGGCTGACCAGTGTGGACTGTTCCCCTAGCTTCTGGTTGCATCAGCCTGTGTCAGTGAGCAGCAAGAGATGGAGGTTAGAGGAAGGTGTGGTCACGGTGGTTGCTCCTGGCTCCCTCCCCACCAGGCTGTCTTGGGTTCCTTTTCAAGGGCACAGACTGTGGGCAGTCATCGGTCGTCAGAAACCCCCCGCCCGTTGTAAGCGCTCCCGCCACTCACTCCCTGGAGCCTAGGAGTTAATGGCTCCCAAATGTCACGTGCTGGGATACTGCACTGTCCTTTGGGGGTCTCCTTAAACCCTGCCCGTATCTGTATAAGTAGTATCTTCTAACAGGTTGCAGTCACAGTACCTATTAAATATTTTAAATGTACCCTCTGTTTCCTGCTGGGAATCTAATTCTACATTCCCTAACCGTCTGGCTGAATTTAGACACATCATCCTAACAAATACATAGAGGAGATCGAGTGAGATCTGAGGTGTGCCACCCACCCTAAATTCTAACTCATAGCTAGGAGCTTGGTCCTGTTTTCTATCACACAAGCACCGTATCTCAGAGATCAATGTGAGGCAGCAGTCCCTGCACCTCATTCCGGAGGGAAGCACTGGGCTCTGGAAAGACCTTCTCCGGGGACAGGGCACGCACTCCTCCAGAGGAGACTCTTAACAGCACCCTGGGAAGGCCTTTGAAATCCACCCATCCACGAGGTTTTCACACACATGGTGTTCGCTTCTAATCCGGAACAGCTGTATTTCACAGAATGTCTGTGTCACTCTTGCTTGCTCAGCCCCAGTGTGTTTAGGGTCAGCTCTGTGACCTAATGTCTTCATTTACAAAGTGCGGCTGGGGAGCTCCATGGTCAGTACAGGCTATGTCCACCTGACTGACAATGAAAGGAATCGCTCGGGGAAATCATTCCCCACTTTCCACAGAAAGGAAAGCGCACTGCCGTCCTCGCCTGGATCACTGAAGTTTGGGTAATGATATTCCTGTCCCTGTCTCCATGTCCTCTGAAAGCTCCCACAGACCAAATCCTGTGCCCCCCCCCCGTTCTCCGTAGATGACCTCCTTCCCGAGCACGCCCCGCCCCAACCTCCGGAGCCCGGCACTGCCCACTGTCCGCGTCCTGGAGGCTGGACCTGGGGCTGCCTGCCTCCCCTGAGCCCTGGGGCCACATGCGAAGGCGCGCTGGCCGATGAGGCCCTCGGACGTAGATACTCTTGGGAACTGCGGCTCTACCTTCGCAGTTTCTCTTCCTCAGCCTCTGTTCGGGTCGCCGCGTGATTCGCACCAGAAGCCCACATGGGCTTCTCTGGCGTCCTCGGTGTCACCCCCCCACCACTAACACGGCCTCCAGGCCTCCTGGCCCGCCCGCCCGACCTCCCGCTCCATCCATCCGTACCATTATGAGCTCAACCGCCGCCGCTACACAAACCCCAACTGCTCTCGCCGACGCCGCCGCTCAACTGCTGACCCGAAGTCTCGCGCTCCTCGGACGCGCCCCCCACGTCCTCGTGGACCCCACGCCGCCGCCGCCGATGCCCATTGGTCCAGAGCGCTGTGGGTGGGGCTGAGTCTAGAATCCCGCTTCTGATTGACCCACACGGGACTCCCGGTCTGTGGCGCGTTCTGATTGGACGCGGCTTTGGCGGGAAGGTGCACGCGGGAGGCGGAGCGCAACGGGTCTCATTCGGTCTCCTCAAACTGCCCCTCCCGCCCCTCACGCAGCCTGCAGCAGGCGTGGCCTGGTCTACGCCGCCTCACCTCGCGGTTCTCCGCCCGGAGCCTCCTGGTAAATTGCGGAGGGTGTGGGGCCTTGGTGTAATGACTGGCTTGGTTATTTGCAGGCTCTACAGGGAAGTGGGGGAGCGTCCTGCGGCGCTTGGCCCAGCCCCGCGCTCTGACTGTGAGGTCCTCTCACCGCCCTACAGGGCGGAGGGTCACCGAGGAGTGCTGCCCCGCATGGGAGCGGGGACAGCAGACTCCTGGGGCTCCTCACGGGTGCTCATCCCGCAGCGCCTGGCTCCCGTTACCCTCCGTCACCTCCTGGCCCCAGCACCGCCTCAGGTTACGACGTTGTCGTGGGCATGGGGGGACCCTCCTTCCTCAGGCGCCGAGAACGCAGCGGACTCGAGACCTGTGCTGTCGACCTGGTCTTAAGCACGACTTATTTTTCTGATTGTAAAAGTAACACATACTGAGTGTGAAGAGTGGAAAATGCAAGAAAATAGAAAGGAACTAAAAGCCATAAAGCCACAACCTAGAGATAAGCATTATTAATGTGCCAGGGTTGTTTTGTTTTGGATTTTTTTTGTTTTTTTTTGCTAGTATACACATTTATACATCATTTTTCCCACACAATATGGATCAAACTGTGTGTGTGTGTGTGTGTGTGTGTAGGTAACAGTTTTTCTGAGATATGATGTACATATTGGACAAGTCACCCAGTTAAAGTGGTGCAATAAGTGGTCTTTTATGATAAACTTCTTTCACTTAGGGTAGTGGTTCATCCATGTTGTCGCATGTGTCATTACTTCGTTCCTTTCTTTCTTTCTTTTTTTTTTTAGTTCTACCACTTTATTGCTACCAACCCATCTCCTTCCACCCTCGTGCACACATGCTCAGTCATGTAATCTCATGGACTTCAGCCCGCCAGACTCCTCTGTCCATGGACTTTTCCAGGCAAGAGTACTGGAGTGGGTTGCCCTTTCCTTCTCCACCTTTTTTTCTTAACTGTATAAAACACAGTTCACATATCATATGATTCATCTATTTAAAGTACACAATTCAAATACTTTTAGTATGTTACTGAAATTGTGCAACCGTTACCATAATCAATTTTAGAACATTTTCATCATCCCAAATTTCATCCTTTTTATTGCCAATTAATGTTCCATTGTATAAGTACACTACATTCTATTTATCCGCTCATCAGTTGGTGGGTATTTGCATTTTGTGGATATCATGGATAATGCTGCCATGAACGTGTATGTTCAAGTTTTTGTGTGGACATGTTTTCATTTCTCTAGGAGTACAAATCTGTGACCTGAATGAGAACAACGGAAGGCCCTGGTTAACACTGATGTCTCAGTCACTATGAAGGCCAGCTCTGTAGGACTTCCACCTGGTTGACATGGGGCCTCAGTGCACTGATGCATTGAAAGGCACCTTGAAGTTGAAGTGGCCCATGGGAGAGAGAAGAAAGTCACACAACACATAGTCATTCAGATGGTCTGAAGACGGCCAGCAGTTCTTTTTTGTACTCCACTCTGCGGGCAGCCGTCTTTATGCAAAGCCCTGGAAGGATGACCTTCACTGAACTGGCAAGATCATCAAACTCTCTGTTCACCTGGATATCCTGAGGAGAAACCCATCACTAGGAAGAATGTTAAGACTTTTTGAGAACTTGACCATTTTACTCACACACACACAAGGTCTAGAGCCTCATAGGGTATCAGTTTGTCCCAAGTTTGAAGGATTGAAACTGTAAACACATCTCTGAACAGGCTTTGACTCAAGCCTGGGTTGAAATCAGAGGGAAAATGAGCAGTGATTTGTAACTAGAGTCTTCGTGATTTGTATTTGGGGATTCTCTCCTTTGTGTTTAACCACCTTAGAAAAGAGTGATATTTTTTCTATATTAAAAGGCAAAATTGGAACTTCCCTGGTGGTCCAGTGGCTAAGACTCCACACTGCCAATAAAGAATTTTTTAAAGGCAAAATGGAATGAAAGGGTTATCTCTCGTGCAGCCCCCCGAGTGAATCTCCAGCACTAGGATCCACTCGCAGGCACTGCTGGCTGGGAGAGGGGGCTGCCTTGCAAGAGATGAACCTGCAAATCCACACATCAGTGAGCATGGTGCCTCTGATCAACCTGTTCCCTCTCTGCCAATGAAGAACCCAGGCAGGGGTCCGAGGTGAGACCATCATGACACCCCGCACAGAGGCAGGAGCAGAGTCAGAGTGGCATCGTGACCCAGGTTGGAACTCGGATGTGGCCACACCGTATGCCTGAGCAGGCACTCTCTCCAATGCCCACTTCTTTCCTTCTAAAATGGAGAAAGTATATCTCCCAGGGCTGTTGGGAGGGTCAGAGACAAGGTTTATGAGAAACTCACAGAAAAGTCCAGAAGCTCCAGTGCAGACTGTGGATTAGCCTGGACAGACTTGAGCACACCAGAGCAGCCTTCACTTCGCATGGGATTCCTGGACACCTGAGAAGCACACACGTCCCTCAGTGAGGGACGCCAAGCCCAGGGCAGCAGGAGGGATTCCCCCATCTTTGCTGATGTGGCTCTGGGCGGCCCCACTCTCTCAGCTCAAAAGGCTCTTCCCTGTGGCACGATGCCTTTGGTGGTGCTGGAACCAGGAATAGCAGAAGGGAGTGGACACTGGCTGCACCCCCACCCTGCACCCACTCTGTGTCAGGAATCAAAGAGACACACGAGACCTGCCCTGCCCTTAAAGAGCTCACTGTTACAGGAAGGAGAGGAGAAGAAACAAAACAATGCAGTGTGGAGAGTGCTGAGAGACCCCTGCACCAACCCTCCCTGGAAAGTGAAGGGTGGATGGGATGAAACACCCGAGCTGAACTTTCCAGGCCAGGTGGGTTGAGCTGGGCATTTCAACAAGAAGAGCCACAGGAGCAAAGCAGGGCTGAGAGGTTGTACCGCATGGCTGGGAAATTGCAAGCAGCTTGGGCTGAGAGTCTTTTCATACTGTTCATGGGGTTCTCAAGGCAAGAATACTGAGGTGGTTTGCCCTTCCCTTCTCCAGTGGACCACGTTTCATCAGAACTCTCCACCATGACCCGGCCGTCTTAGGTGGCCCCACACGGCATGGCTCATAGTTTCACTGGGTTAGACGAGGCTGTGGTCCATGTGATCAGTTTGATTAGTTTTCTGTGACTGTGGTTTTCAGTCTGTCTGCCCTCTGATGGAGAAGGATAAGAGGCTCATGGAAGCTTCCTGATGGGAGAGACTGACTGTGGGGGAAACTGTTTTGTTCTGATGGGTGGGGCCATGCTCAGTAAATCTTCAATCCAATTTTCTGTTGATGGGCAGGGCTGTGTTCTCTCCTTGTTTCCCAACACACTGGTTCCAAATTGGGAAAGGAGTATGTCAAGGCTATATGTTGTCACCCTGCTTATTTAACTTATATGCAGAGTACATCATGAGAAATGCTGGACTGGATGAGGCACAAGCTGGAATCAAGATTGCAGGAGAAATGTCAATAACCTCAGGTATGCAGATGACACCACCCTTATGGCAGAAAGTGAAGAGGAACTGAAGATCCTCTTGATGAAAGAGGAGAGTGAAAAAGCTGGCTTAAAACTCAACATTCAGAAAACTAAGATCATGGCATCCAGTCCCATCGCTTCATGGCAAATAGATGGGGAAACAATGGAAAGAGTGACAGACTTTCTTTTCTTGTGCTCCAAAATCACTGCAGATGGTGACTGCAGTCGTGAAATTAAAAGACGCTTGCTCCTTGGAAGAAAAGCTATGACCAACCTAGACAGCATATTAAAAAGCAGAGACATTACTTTTCCAGCAAAGGTCCATCTAGTCAAAGCTATAGTTTTTCCAATAGTCATGTGTAGTCATGTATGGATGTGAGAGTTTTGGACTATAAAGAAAGCTGAATGCCAAAGAATTGATGCTTTTGAACTGTGGTGCTGGAGACGACTCGAGTCCCTTGGACTGCAAGGAGATCCAACCAGTCCATCCTAAAAGAAATCAGTCCTGAATATTCATTGGAAGGACTGATGCTGAAGCTGAAACTCCAATACTTTGGCCACTTGATGTGAAGAAATGAGTCATTGGAAAAGACCATGATCCTGGGAAAGATTGAAGGCGGGAGGAGAAGGGGGCAACAGAGGATGAGGATGACAGATGGTTGGATGGCATCATTGACTTGATGGACGTGAGTTTGAGCAAACTCTGGGAGTTGGTAATGGACAGGGAGGCCTGGCGTGCTGCAGTCCATGGGGCCGCAAAGATTCGGACATGACTGAGTGACTGAACTGAACTGAACTGGGCTGAGAGTGAAGGACTTCAAGGTAGGGAGGAGGGTGGGGCTGGCAGAGCGCAGAGCCCATGTGCTGTGATTGAGCAAATGACTAAGCTTGGTGTCTTTCAGAGAGATTTAAAGCCGGGACCATCTCCTGTTAGCACCTGATTGCAGGCGGGGAGGTGGGGCACCGGGCAGCCTGGCCCCCCTCCCCGGGGGGAAGATGTGGAACGAGGCGGGGTCAGCACTGGGCCCCAGCTGACAGGATGGGAAGGAGCCCCCCACCTAGAGGCAGCCCTTAGAGGGGGATGACCAGGTCAGGCTCGACTCCCAGAATCCCGTGCACCTGTTCTCATCTCGGGGGCCATCCGGCAGGTGGCTAGAAATGGAGACTCAGAGCTTAGGGAGAGGTCTGGGTTCTACTCGGGGGCAAGAGTGAGCCTCAGGCTGGGGAAGTGGGTGCTGCTGGGGGCTCCTGTGCCCCCTGAGGGCCAGGCAGGGCTGATGTCCTCAGAGCACGTGCAGCTGGCACAGAGGGCCCGCTCCGGCCTCCCTTCACTGCCTTCTGCTCTCACGGTCAGCCACATCCTGCCCACTGGAGCCGGAACACCTGTGTGGCCCCTGGGTTCCAGCAAGGCCAGGGGGAGGTAAGGGGAAGCCTGGTGGGCCTGGGGGGAGTCTGAAGGAATTTGTGGGCCAGGCCAGAGATGGGTGAGTGGATGACGAGGCTGCCGGAGGAAGCCGGGCGCCCCCTCCCCCATGTGCCCGCAGGCACCAGGGTGAGATGTGGCGGGGAGGGGGCTGTGTGGACAGGCACAGGCGGGTCTGTGCCGGGGCCTCCCCCTTCAGGCTGGCACTCACAGCAAGAATCCTCAGTGTCTGGTTGACTCGCAGGCCCAGGCCCAGGCTCAGGGCTCCCGCCGCAGAGACACGGTTGTTGCTGCAACAGAAAGGCGTGTGCCTTGCGCTGCCTTGCAGGCAGCTGTGCAGAGCCACACTGCCCCAGGGCTGCTGGCGCAACCCCCAGGTCCAGCCTCCAAGCACACCCCGGGGGCCCTGGGCAGGTCAGTGTGTAGATGCTTCAGTGGAGTCTCCAGTGTTCAGGGTCCAGCAGATGTGCCTAGAGGGTTGTTGCCCCCCAACCCCACGCCCCAGTGGAGACCCGCTGCTGCTCCCTGGCCCTCATCACTCTGGGTGCTCCCACACATCCTGCACCCTGCCTCTGTCCTCATGACAGCCACCCAGCTCCCTCCCCACGGCTTCTGCTCCCGATGGGCCCAAATCCCAGGCCTCCTCACTGCTCTTGGCCACTTTGTCTCCAAGCCAGCCCCACTCCCCTCTAACTTCTCAGACCCCAGCTTTCCCCCATCGGGAGGGGAGAATGGGTAGGATGGAGCAGATGCCTGTGCCAATGGCGGACAGCCCATGACATGTCTGGCCTCCGCCTCCTCCCTTCCCTCTGGTTTCCCCAGGAGGCCTGGGACCCTGCCTGGGCTTGGAGGAGCAGCTCACCTGTGCAGGCCCCCAGCAGCCATGTGCTGGACAGAGCACAAATCCCTCCTGAAAGGGAGGAGCATGCAGGTGGAGCGCCACCGCCCACACCAGCTCCGCTAAAGAGGTTTACATGTTTGCACCTCCCAGCCCACAGCCATGTGGTAGGAATTACGAGTCCCCACGTACAAATGATCAGCTTCCCTAGTGGCTCAGAGGGTAAAGAATCTACCTGCAATTTGGGAGACCCAGGTTCGATCCCTGGGTTGGGAAGACCCCCTGGAGGAGGGCATGGCAACCCACTCCAGTATTCTTGCCTGGAGAATTCCATGGACAGAGGAACCTGGTGGGCTACAGTCCCTGGGGTCACAAAGAGTGGACACGATTCAGCAACTCACACTTTCACGTGGCAAGGATGAACTTGAGTGAGAGGGACAGAGCGGATTGCCCTGGGACTGTGACAGGTTCCAGCCCTGAGGGTGAACAGCAGCAGGAGGAGTCCCAGTCCCTGGGTGGCCGGGGGCCTGGAGGCAGGGGCGGGGGCCACCTGCTCTCACCTCATGTAGAGCTCCTCCAGCACATTGTTGGTCTTCAGCGCCTCCCCCACCGCGGAGGCTCCAGAATCCCCGCAGCCATTGTATGAGATGTCCAGGACCCTCAGGAAGATGTTTGCCTGGGACACAAAGGAGCAACCCCGTGGGACCACACGTGCCGGTGGAGGAAGCCAGGCCCCAGCCTCCGAGCCCAGGAGGTCTGAGGGGCAGAGTGTGGCCTGGGAGCAGGAGACCACAGAGGTTGCAGGGCAGAGCCCTGGGCTTGGATGGCGGCGACTAGTGGAGTGGGAAGGCCAGACTCGAGTGCAGAGGATGGGCATGGGTGTGAGCGAGCCTCAGGACTGGGTGGTCTGCCCCGGGCCACAGGCCCCAGGGACACAATGGCGGGGACCCCTGTCAGGCAGGGACCCCGAGGCACAGAGCAGCCCAGGGCCCAGAGAGGATACCAGTGAAGGACTGTTCGGTGAAATGTGTCCAGAGGGCTGTGATGGGGAGAAGTGGGGAGCCCATGGGTGCCCAGCTTGTGGGGCGAGACCCTGGTCAGCCTTGTGGGAGGGCATGGCCTTGCTGCCGTTCCCCGAAGAAGATCCCACGGAGGCAGCTGCC